AAATTTAGGAGAAACAGTTGTTTCTAGGTGATTCTGAATCTGTGCTCAAAAAAGACTAGTATCTTTTTGAAAAAAATTCATGATCGTTTAAAGTTACGAAACTTGATTTTAATGATGCGCTTACAACAATAAGTTTAGAAATCACAAGCTTGGAGACTGCTAAATCTGACGATTTTTCATATCGCTAGGGAACTTTCCGACGGCCACCTTTCCGACGAATCTTTTTTTCCGACTTTTTTTCTCGATAAAATCTTATTTTTTTGAATCTTCCTATATCATGTAGGCAAGTTATTCATGATTAAAACACAAAGAAATAGGAAAAAAATGTTTATAGATGTTTTATAAACCGAAAAAAATAAGGGAAAAAAGTCGGAAAGTTGACTAGTGATATGAAAAAATCGGAAAAATCGCCGTTTGAAATTTCGCTGGTGTTTTTTTAAAACCACCTCTTTTTGACCAGTTAATTTCTATCTTTCATTTGCCCGACCTGAGGAGCACCCTCTCAAGCAAACACGACTAGGACGGCCCAAAAAAGCTTCAAATTTCTCCAAGTCAAAGACCGGACTTTTCTTCTTCAAAAATCACCTTTTTGGCTCTTTTTTCTCACTTTAAACTGTAACTATGACTCAACAAGTTAAAAGAATTTTTTGGTGAAAACTTTTAGGTAAAACGAACATTTTAAACATAACCTGGCCCAGCCTGAAGCCGTGAAGTCTTTTTCGCAAAAAAAAAAATTCAAATATTTCCAAGCTTTCCAACTCAATGTAATTCATAGGAATCTTCCCATTTCCCCCTTGAAAATATTCAAAAACCCTTCAAGGACTCTGAAAATCTGGAAAAAACGGACTTTTACTGGGATTCCTGACAATGGAAGCCTGACCTGACCTCGTGCAGGAATTTTTCGCAAACATATTATTTAAAAAAATTAAAATATTTTCAAGCTTTTCCACTCAACCACCACCTGTTCTTTTTTTATTTCTTCTCATTTCCCACTCGAAAATCTTCAGAATCTCTTCCAAAACTTTAAAATTTGGAAGAAAACGGACTTTCACTGGGATTCCTGACAATGGAGGCCGGGATGACCGGCGCCAAGTCGTCGTCGCTTTCGTCCGAAGAATCTTCCTCCACCTGCGCGTTTCTTCGCACTCTTTCCAATCTTAAGACTTCTTTTTAGAATACTGTAACCGTAGCATTCCCATACCGTATCCTAGAATCCTCGGCGTCTCTTTCTGCCTTTCTTCTTCGGAATTCGCTGAGTTCATCTCCTTCCAGGGGGACGCGCTTTTTCACTTGCAATTCCATGAAACGGTCTTGGGTATTCTTCAAATGAATAATTTTTCATCTCCTTTAAAAATTTTAGTACACATCCCTGTTGCTTGAAAAGTTGAGGTTCAAATTTTTGAGTTTATTAAATACTTTTTCCCGATTTTTTCGATTTTCTACGACTTTGAACGTCATCAAATTGCCCAGAATTTCGGAATTTATTCAAAAAAATTTTTACAAATTTGATCTCGAAAAAAACTTCAATTTCTACTCTGACATCCAACTTAAGAAAAATTACACGGCGCAAAAATTTTTTTCTCAAAACTATTCGATAATGATGAAATTTGCGCTCAAAAAAATCAGTGTGCCTTCCAAATTTTTTTCTTTGAAGACTTGATTTTTTTCCTAATATTAGAAAAAAATCCATTCTCAAAAAAATGTTTGTACACATCCCTTTTGCTTGAAAAAATTGAGATTAGAACATTTTTGAACATTTATTTTTCGATTTTTTTCGATTTCCTACGGCTTTGAACGGCGTAAAACTGCACAGAATTTCGAAATTCATTCAAAAAAAGTTACAAATTTAACCTCGAAAAAAATTTTTAATTTCTATTTTAATAACCAACTTCAAAAAGCTTCTGCTTAACTGAAATATTCTCAAAACTAATGAATAAAAAAATGAATCTGAGTTCAAAAACCCTCTAAAAATTTTTCTATGAAAAACATTTTTTTCCTTTTCCATGATATTCTAAACTTAACTATACTGGAGTTTTTTTAATACCCCAGACTTCAAATAATCTAATTTTTTTGGCTTCTTACCAATCTTCCATCCGTCGCTCTTTCCGACAAGTTGACCAACTTGGCGCCCAATGTGAAGGAAGATGGTCGAGCTGGAACAAATTTCGTTATTTTTCGAATTATTGAGAAGAATTTTGAACAAAAGCCTAGATCGGAAAAAAAAACTTTTTCAAACGTTCACAGAAAAAAAAAGAAACAAAGTTCTATCCTTTTTTTTGAGTGAGCTGAATGCTGAAAAAATCGGTCGGTTCATTTTTTGAAAGGTACGAACTTTTGCAGTTCAGTTTTTTCTACATCTCCAAAATGTTTTCTCTTGTGATTGCTTTGAAAAAAATAAAAATAATGGCGGTCAAAAAGAGGAGATTTTTTTCAATTTTTTTAGAAAATTTTAGGTCCATTTTTAGCTGATATTGCTTAATGACATTTGAGAGAGCATTTTTGGCAAAAAAATAAAAAAATTTGAGGGGAAAAAGGAAAAATCAGACTTCGAAAAATGGTCATATTATGAAGAAATATTTATCATAAAGCCGTTTAAAATGTCAAAAAAACTATATTTGAAAAAAATAGCCATCAACGCCCTAAAAAAACCGTGGAAAAAAATGGTTTTTTTGAATCTATTTTTAGTAAATCATGGAATCGGCTGAAAAACAAAATTATGGACATCGAATTTTTTTATAAATTCCTCCAGTTGCAGTAATCTAATCTATCCGATTCTTCCATCTTTCCAACCAAAACCTGTGATAATAACTCCGTTCCTCGCATCACTGCACCAGTCCAAGAACAATTCTCGTGAAAATCCAGATTCCATGTCCAAATTGCTGCACAGGACAACCTGGAAAATGAGAATATGTCGAGAAAAAACGCACAAAAACAAAAAATTGATTAAAAAGACCTAAAAATTAAGAAAAATATTTAAAAATGCTTAGAGGAAAATTTGAGATTAAGAAGGAGAAAAATCGGTAAAAAAAGAAAAAAAGTCGAGATTGGTAAAAAAATAATAAAAAAATAACTTCGGAAACCCCACGAAATTTTTTGACCTCCACAAGAACTTTTTTTCAAAAAAATTGACAGAACCCAGATTTGAAGATACCTAAGGAACCATGGATTTTCTAAGACCCATATACTTAAAAAAATACGGTTAGTTTGAGCTTTTTCTTAAATTTTCGCTGAAATTTACAAGTTCTTATAGCCTTTTTCTAATAAAATTGGCCTTCAAGAGGTTCTCTTTGAATTTTTCTATGTCGACGTCGAGGGTGACCAAAATACCGACTTTTCAAACACAAAAAAAGTACCGTAACTCAAAAATTTCTACAGTAACCCAAGATGGTAGGTACTACAAAAGTTTCTAAAATTTGATTACCTATCGATTGATATATATCATGCCTAGTAAAAACTCTCTAATACTTAGATACGCAGGTGCCCACCTGCCTACCGTAACCCGGCTACAGTAGGAGGAAATGGCTCAAAAAGATGTATCTGCACTTCTGATGATGAATTATCACACTGGATGAAGTTTCATCAGAATCGAAAAATAAAATTTGTGGACTAATTTACCCTAAAAAAATTTAAAAAACCCTGTAGGGACCACTTGAGCTTTGAAGGTTTATGGGAGAGACCCTAGGCGCCTATAGGGAGCACTATTCTGTCCCCTACAGATACTTTTCCGCCCTAACCCCTCTAGGGACTACTTTGACGATTCCTCGGACATTGGTAACGCGAAACGGACGTGCTCCGGACGTTTCTGGGCGATTCTAGGGATCCCTTAAAAGTTCTGAGGCTACTAAAGTGGTCACTAGAAATGCCCCGATTCGCGTCCCGTTCGCGTTACGAAGGTCTGAGACTAGATTCATTTTTTTTATTATTTTGTCCATGGAGCGCACAAGCTGGAACTCTCAGAATTTTGTGCAGCTTTTTCTAATTTCTTAGCTTTTATGCCTGAAAATGAGAACAACCTCCCAAAAACCGTACCTTCGGGGACCGAACCCGCATCAATTCCAAGTGGGAATGGCACAAATTGACGTGTTTCAGAGTGAATGGATTGTATCGGCCCGAATCGAATCTGAAGTCCGGGCCGAATGTTTTTGGAGAACCATTTCTCAGACTTGAACAATTTATCGTTCATCCATTCCAACTGCGACTTGGCGAACTGGACGACGGATGAGGCGACGTGGGACATCATCACGAGGTTGTAAGAGGAAAGGCCAGCTTCCGTACTGAATTTTAGAGTTTTTCCGAGTTCACGAAAAGGGTTTTTCTCAAAATTTCGAAAAAAAAAAGAGGCTGCTGGGTGAACTTTTAGTGGCTACTATAGAGGCTTGCCAAAGATTACTTGGAGAGGACACTAAAGGAGCCACTATTTTCCGTTTTAGTGGCCACCTCAGTAGTTTTTAATCCGGTATTCCTTCCAGTAAGTCTAATAATTTTAAAACAAACAGATTGGACCAGTTATGTTGATCCATTGACCCCTAAAGTGGCCACTAAATTTTTTTTGTGGTCTAGGAGTAGCACTTAGACTTCTATAATGGCCACTAATCTTTAACCCCTCAAGTGGCCACTAATTTGACTGCTATAGTGGCCCCTAAAACGTCGAAACCCTATAGTGGCCACTAAAAATTTCGCAGAATCTTTTTAAACTAAAAAAAAAAGCGTTTCTTCCCCCAAAAAAGGGCTGATTTTGCTCTGAAATCTCAAAAAGAAGTTGATTTTTCATGAAAACTATCAAAAAAAGAGCTTCTTTTTTTCTTTCCCTCCTGTAAGAATTTGAAAACCGACTTGGACCACAACTGATCCAATAAATGGGCCAATTCGAGGACTCTTCCCGCCGTGTCGATCACCACCATGCAATCGCCCTTCTGCCGGACCGTTCTGAAAACTCATTTCATTTTATTTTTTAAAGTTCATGAACCTCAAAATCTTGGTAACAAGTTGCTCATCTCGGTCTTTTCGCCTCATTTGGGGCAGGGAAATGTGATGGGCTCCGGTGATCAGCAAATGGGGCCGATGGACGCCTGGAAACTCATTTTCTAGAGCTCGGATCTTGGTAACGGGAACCGGACGCTTCTGAGCATTTATAACGACCTTTTTTAACGGTGTAAGCACCCTTAAAGGGGTACTAAAATAATTATCCTCTTAAATGATCTCTAAAGCGCCCTAGACGTGTCTGAGCATTTCTAGTGATCTCTTTAGCGATGTCAAAACCCTTAAGTGTTGGGGGTTTAGGCGAAATGAGAAATCTAGCATATCTAACCATTAAGTAATTCCTAAAGCGCTACGGAGGTATCTGAGCCATTCTATTGATCGCTTCAGCGGCCTCACCATCCTTAAAACGTCACTGAAAGTTTCTAACCCCTTGAGTGATCCCTGAAGCGCCCTGGACGTTTCCGAGCATACCTAGTGACCACTGTAGCAGCGTCAGCACTTTTAAATGATCCCTAAAGTGCCCAGAAGTTTCAGAGAGTTCCTAATGACTATTTTAGTGGTGTTAAAGGAATCACTGAAATGCATACACCCTTAAGTGATCCCTAAATCGTCTAGAAGTTTCTGAACTTTTCTAGTGACCGCTTTAGCGGCGTCAGAACACTTAAGGGATCATTAAAAATTTTTTCCCCTTAAGCGATCCCTAAAGCGCCCCGAACGTTTATGAGCCTCTCTAGTGACCCCTTTAGCGGCGTCAGCATACTTCAGTGATCCTAGAAATTCTATCCCCTTAAAAGATTCCTGCCACGAAGGTATCTGAGCATTTCTAGTGACCGATTTAGTGGCGTTTACACCCTCAAGTGACCTCTAGAATGTCTTAGAAACGTCTAGGCGAGTCCAGTTACTGATTGAAGCCAAACTTTGTCTCAGATCAATTCACGTGATAGTCAACCCTTTCGGATATAAAGAAGTTGTTTTTTTACATCTGAAAGTCAGTTTACATAACTTATTTTGCGTTTTGAGTTTTGTGGTCTTATTGAAACGAAAACATTTTTCTTTCGGATTTTTCTTCAGTGTTATTTTGTCTTTCAAATTATGCTTTTGTAAAAAATTTTTCTAATAACGAATAGCTACAAAACTTATGTTCTTGAAGCACAGCATTGCTATGAATCGATAAAACTTACATTTTTTAAATTCAATTGGTACTCAAGGGGTTTATCATTACGTGAATGGATCTGAAACAGTTTGGCTTCAATCATAAGTTATCAAAAATCACCAGGTATATTTAAAAAAAGCCTACTTTTTCTGAAAGAAAATCAAATTTCTTCTTTTTATTTTGAATTTCGCGGCTTCAAGAAAAAAAAATTGGAAAATAGAAAATGGAAAATGACGTTTTTTCATTCATATTCACTTTACCAGTCCTTCATGATTGGAGAATTCAAGAAGAAAAGACGCTATAACTTTTAGTTGAAACATGAAAATGAGATAAGATATTAACTGTCGAAGGAGCATCCGTTGAGATGCCGCTCCTTCTTGTGGTTGAAGTCGACGCAGTAGACGATGTCTTCTCCGGTCACTCGGCAGATTCGCCACATCGCTCCGCCGATCATGTGTCCTGTACACAAGAATTATGGGAATTCCTTCAGCTAGCTCCTTTTTTTTTGACTAGAAGCTGGGGAGGAAATACACATTTTACTTTGACGTTTCGAAAATTCGCTCGAACATTTTTTTGAAGGTTCAGATAGAGACCATACTCGGTCCAACCTTCCTTTTCTGAGATTATTGTTTTTGAAGTTCGGAAAGCTAGACTTGAAACCCATATTACGCACGTTCAAAAAGTAGATCAAGTAAAATGAGACGTCTTGGCGATTCGAAATTACTTTTTTGATCAATAAGCTATTTCTTTATTGTATGACATAACAAACTACCAAACTTTCTAACAGGACAAACCGAATATCTAGATTACCTATTTTCATCAAGTTTTTTTTTGAACCTCTTGCGATAAAATATTGAAAAAATTGAAACCAATTGAAGTCATTAAATCGCACGACGCCTTTTTTGGATTCTGGAATTTCGAAGATAAGGCGGGTTGTTATCATCTCGATGTAAGGAATGTCATGAAACTAAAAAAATTAAGCTTCAGATCACTTTTTTTCTTTTTCAAACGCCCTGATATCAATAAGATTATATCCTGATTATTTATAATGAACAAAGTTGGAAAAAGGTCGGAAACCGCAATTTGAAATGGGTTTGTACGATTGAAATTGGGAGGCCGGGACAGTGGGTCAGCCCGTGTACATTTGAAACGGTGGAGTGACATTTTCGAAAAAAAAATTGTTGAAGAACACGCGATGCGTTTTTGGCGGCAATTTAAAAATTAAGAAAAAACTAGAAAAATAAAAAATGTTCCAGATGAATCTGAATCAGCGCTCAAAAAAGTTTCGCACGCTTTTTTGCAGAACACCGGCGTTTCAAGCCTTGGGGAAAATATTATAAAATCTCTGATACCTGCAGGAAGAGCGCTGAAATTGATGCCCGAGTCGCCTTTGAGCATCACCTAAATTATTATAATTTCATTAAGTTTTTTTTTTTTGAATAATCCACTAGGACATAGAAAGACCGCAGTATGATTGCTCTGAAATGCACCCGACCAAAAACGACTTGTCCTCTACGGTATGGGAAAACATGAGACTCAGATTGGGTGATTCACGGCTAGCTTTCAGTGGGGCGTCTGCGCTCTCTACCAACCAGGCACTATCTCATTTTTCATCGTGTCAGGACCCGTTTTCGGCGTCTCAAGCCAGCCGTGAGCTTCATCACATGTCCCCCCTATAGGGGACACTATAGCTTGCGAAGTGGCAACTCTAGGGAAGAAAAATTGGATGACCCTATAGGAGTTTCAAGTTTTAGGGGCGTAGGGGTCCCCCCTCAAACTCCTATAAGGTCCAGGAAGCCTTATTTTGTTCCTATAGGGGCTCTTCTCTCTAACCCCTCCAGGGACCACTCAAGTTTTAGGGATTTATGGGTCAGACCTCAAACGCTTCTGAGGTCCCTTCTGGGAGCCCTATTTTGTCCCTATAGGGGTTGTTCTTCTCCCTAACCCCTCTAGGGACCACTCTGGCATTCCCAAGTCGGGTTTTCATTACTCAAATAGATTTTTTTTTCCTATTCCCATAACTGACCGTCTGGTTGTACTTGACCTGCTCGACCTTCTCGAAAGCCGCGTCGACGTCGTCCAACGAAAAATGTTCGAATTCCTCCACATCCAAGTGACTGTTCACCAGATCGTAAAGGAACATTTGTCCCATTTTGAACACGGGGACCTTGAGAAAAACCATTTTAACTGTTATTTTTCGATTATCGGGTTACGGTAGCATAGACAGGAGCGGTTAGTCCGCATTTGGCAACGAGATACGGTAAGGCGCCGAGGTGAAGGACGTCTGGATGTGAGAGAAGGACTGCGCTGAGCTGAAAAAGAAAATTTTGAATTTTTAGCACTTTCCAGGTCAGAAAACCTAAAGTTTTTGAAAAATTCCTTATTTTTTCGAAGCTTCTAAGTGATTTTCGAAAAATTATCTCTGACTCTCCAAAATTCAGTCATATGTCTTTTTTTCTGACGGCCATTTTGAATTTCGCGGAATCACTTTGAACACGGCATTTTTGAACTGAATTCCTTTGACTTTTAAAAAGGAAGATGGTTTCAAAATATTGATTCAGTTTTTTTGTTTGTTTTTCCGTTCTAGCAGTTTCAGAGAAGACAGCTTGAAGTTGAAGAAAAAAATGAACTTTTTAGAATAAATTGATACAGAAAAAAACTTTTTGGAGTCATTTATTTTTTTCCTCAAGATTTTCAAGTATTTTTAAATCAACTCTTCTCATTTGAAGGCATTCATTACTGGGCATTAAACGCATATCAAAAACGTCGGGGAACACCCTATACAGATTTGTTTTGCGCCATTGGGTTTAAGTTGAGTTAGGAGAACTTATTTTGACTTTGAAATTAATTTCAAAAATTTGTGAAATTTCAATAGTTTCACAATTTTTAATTACATCAAAAATATGATTATCCGAAGTAAAATTCAAAATCTCCACAGAAAAGTTTGTCTACTATTAAATGAATTTAGTGAGTTTCCAGAAAAAAAGTTGACAAATTTTTTTTAGAAAAAACGCAATTTTCATGAAATTCATCCTCGAAAAAACATGAAAGCTTGAAAAAAATTTAATTTTTTTGAAAAACGATAAGCTTAAACTTTTCAAACTTCAAAAAAATGAAAAATATTAGAAATTTATATGGAAGAATTACCCATTTTCTTCGTAATTTCACAATTTTATTCGACTTTTTACCTTTGGCACAATCGGCCTCAACTGTTCCAAATAAGTAGGATCGAATCTCTCGTCCCATCCGCAGTCCAGCAATATGTGATCTCCATCGACCTGAAACTCATTTTTTTATTTCTCAAATTCTAGTCCATCAGAAAAAAGAACCTGAAGCAAGTAGCAGAGGGGACCTTCGTCTCGGGCGCCCGAGAAAACGTGAACTTTGATGATCGAAGTCATTTCGAGGTCATAAATTCATTGGGCCAGGTAAACTTAAGATGAAAATATGAAGAGGCCTGAAACTCTTCAAAAATGAGAGGAGAAATGTTAAAAAAAATTGAAAAATGACGAGAAATTCGATGGAAACGTCATAGTTTCGCTTTTTATCAGCGATTTTGAGCGAAAAATCAAAATACAGTAATAATTTTGAGTTGAGAATTCGCTTTTCTGAAGTTCTTTAGAGCTCCTATTCTTTATTTTCCAGCAAAAATCAACAGAAAAATTCGATAAAAAGTAGGATCAAAAAAACAAATATTTCGAAAAAAACCTCTCGAAAAACAAAAAAACTGATACAAAAGTTGATAAAAAAATCTAATTTTCGACAAACTTTTTGTAAAATTTAGCCTTAGTATTGGATTTCTCAAGCTTCTCATTCTGTTTGAAAAATTCTAGAAAAAATTAAAAAAATTTTTGATATTAGGATTTTACAAAGATTTTTTAATCTTAATCATCAAATTTCTGAAAAATTATCTCAAAAATTAAAAAATAAGGTTTCTTATCTGTGAATAGCATGATAAACAAGAAAATTCCACTTTTTCTCGAAAAATTCAAAAAGTCACAGAATTTTTCCTGTTGGAAATTTGAACAGAAGAATGAAAAAATCTGAAAAAAGACTGAAAAATGAAAATATTCAAGATCGACGCAACGATCTTCGAAAAAAACCCTGAAAAAAAGACATTTTCAGAAATAAATAGTTTAATACAAGCAAGGAACTACAGTACAGGGACCAGACTGAACAAACCAGCACAAAAATGGACAGGAAAAGGCCGATCGCTACCTCCAATGGTACAGTGATACAAGGAAAATGATAGATATTCAACAGAATCCGTGAAAAGAAAAATCTCAAAGGCCATAAGATCATATTCAAAATGAAGAAGAGGGATATTGCCACGAAAACCTGCAAAATTGGATAATTTTTGGATTCGAAGATCACAACGTACAATGTCATTATCACAACGATGGGTTAGTCCAAAGAAAACAAGAGAAAAGATCAATTATTAGGAATATTCTAGTAAAAGTATAGCTTCACGGCTAACTTGGGGCTCTAGGGGGCGTGGCCTGTCTGCGCTCTCCACGAGGCAGGCACTATCTCGTGCATTATCGTGTCAGGACCCTTCATTCGTTGGCTCAAGCCAGCCGTGAATCTGCTATAGGAGAAAATTGAGAAAATTCAAAAAAAAAGGTGGAGGGGAAAAATTATTTACAAGCTTATTATTCTCAAAACCTGGGCTATTTAAAAGAGCATGGGCTGGTTTAATAAAGGTCTCGAGACGGAGATCTTTTCTCAAAGAGACCCATGCGCCTTTAATTACCTCAGTAGGACCTTTTTCCAAGCTTGGATTATTGGAACGATTTTTTTTTTTGATATTTGGCGATTTGAATCGAAAAATGAAAAAATGACACTGTTTTCTTGCAATTTTCGCCCTTTTTCTGAATAAAACATCATTTTTTGATTAAAATAATTGAATTTTAACATTTCTACCGGGCTTAATTGAATCTGATATCTCACAAGTCATGGTAATCAATAGGAAATAACATAAAACTCAAAAACTAATCAAAAAAAAATTGAAAAAATTGGACCAAAAATCATCCTAAAAACATTTTTTCTTCAAAAGTTGTTGTTAAAATTTCCTTTAATTTTTTTCAAAGATTTTTGGAACCAGCCTTGTCATTTCTACACCGTTACCGGGGTCAATCTCACTAATTAAATGTGAAAAAGAAAAGAAAATAATAGGAATAAATAATTAAAATGTTTAAACAATCGTGATTTTTTAAACTTATTTAGTTAAAATTCAAATTTCAAACCAACCTCGTCATTTCTCACAATGTAACCGGGTTCCTTACCACTTACAAGTCATGATAATCGATAAAAAATAAGTTAAATATAGTCCATTCACCGTGACTTGACTTTTTCTCGCGTGTCTGCGTCTCTCTGTCCCTCAGGTCAGAAAAAAATAAAAAATAGCACGGAAATATGAGAGGGCGCAGAGAAGTTCAAGTCGCGAAGAACGGACAAATATGGAAAAATCTCGAAAAACAGCTCGAAACAGAGATCTAATGTCCCGGAATGGTATTATGGTAGGCGCTGAAGAGCCTCGCGACGCTCCCGCGGTCCAACTCGATGACGCCGTCGAAGTTCTCGCTGGAGTCGGGCGAGTGCAGGATGCACAGAATGGTGGCCATCGGGAGGTGGGCCCGGAGGAGCGAATAGACCGCCAGATGCGTCTGACGGTCCATGTTCGACGTCGCTTCGTCGATCAGCACGATCTGCAGCTTATTCATTCGGAAAATACATGAGATGAGCCTGACTGGCGACAACCAAAAATTGACAGTTTTTTAATGGAGTGGAATAATTAATGACCGACGACAACCAAGTCCCCCATTTTCTCCACTTAAAGCCCACAGTTTTTTTCAATGGTTCGGAATCAGTGACCGAACAAACTTCACAACAAATTTCTCAAAGAAAAAGCAACCAAAAGGGTTGAAAATTTTGTGAAACTTGACAAAGGGGTACTTCAAGACCTCCTGATAACAGATCCATCAAGATTAAATGAAAATCTCGTTTCATTTTTCAAAAAATTGAACCTAAAATTAGTCAAACGGTACGGTTTCAGGCTCAATAAAGCCTTTGAACATGACAAAACTTGAAAAAACTCAGGACTTTTCGATTTTTGTGACTGGAAGTACTGCAGAACTTTTCTGTGATTCTTCTCAAGTGGCCACTTGGCGCTTTAAAATCGTTATTTCCCTGCAAAACCTGGTGTGACCTTTGAAAAATCAACCTTTTGATCTAAAGATTTGAACACAAGTTTCAAAAAAGACATTAAATCTCTTAATTTCGTATTATTCAATATTTTACATATCAAACTTCAAATTTTGTGCCTTTTCTGAGGATTCTTTTCTTCTTCTTGATGTAAAATAGGTTCGCTATTCATTTTCGCGATTTTTTTTTTTGGGAAATGTTTCATTTCGCAAGCCTTAAAAAGTCTTAGAAAACTAAAAAAGGCACAAAAATCGTATTTTTCTATTTTTCCTAGATCTAAATTCGAGTTTTGGGAACTTTCTTGATTTTTTTTCTCACCTTTGGCTTGCAGAGCAAGATCCTGCACACGGAGATGAGCTGCTTCTCTCCGACGGACAAATTTTTGCCGTCTTCAATAATTTCGCCGTCCAGTCCTCCGATCCTTGTCAGAACCGAATCTTAACATTTCCCGTTACTTTGGAAATTTTTTCAGAAATACCTAAATTCGCGACGCGAACGACCTGAGTGACTTGCGCTCTATTGGTGATTCCTCCGTTCACCGTCAAGTTATCGTAAAGAGTTCCACTGAAAAAAAGACTTGAAACTTTTTCTTGGCCTGCTTTTTTTAGTACTATTCATTTGATAAAAACATTTTTTTATGAGTTTTTTTGAAGTTACTTATAATTTTTCGAGAAATTGAACTTCAATTTTAAAAAAATTGGCTTTTTGGTCATTTGTGGTCGATAATACCATAGTACTGAAATTTAAAAAGCGCCTTTTTTCTCCTCTACAAGCTCGCAAACGACCTTTAGTGATTTTTGAATTTTTGACCAAACTAAATTTTCCGTTCAAAAGAGCCGAACTCTAATTTCAAATAGTCCATAGTCAAAAAAATTTTCTCGAAGCTTCTAAACTACCTAAAAATCGGTCAGAATATATCATCAGATATTTTCGAACCTAAAGATGAAGGGCATCTGCGGGATGACTCCGAAACATCGTCGGAAGGCGAATTTGTCATAGGTTCTGATGTCGACGTCGTCAAGAAGAATCGTTCCATTTTCGATTGGCGCCAATTGCAGGAGAGCCTGGCAATTTAGTAAACTTAGAATAATATGTTTTTCTAAATTTCCTAAGAACTTTATAGCAAATATTTTGAAACTAGCTGTTTTATACATGATTGAGCCATCTGAAAAGGGTCCTGACACGATAAAAAAAAAATAAATATTCCATGGTTCGTGGAGAGGGAAGACAGACCACGCCCCTTTTGTCCCAAGCTAGCCGTGAATAACCTATATGTCCCAAAATTTTCGGAAATTTATTTTGAAATCCGAATTTCAACTTTTTACAGTAAAAATTCTATTCAAGATCCCAAAAATGTGCAAAATTGCGAAACCGAAAAATTCCATTCCTTAAGACTTATCCTTCCCCCTGGAAGCTTTGAAAATTTTCTTAAAAGATACTCAGGAACGCCTAAGTGGTCCCTACAGGGGTTAGGTAGAAATCCTCTAAACTGGATAAGATAATACTCTAGAGCGCTAAAATTCCGGTGGTCCCTATTGGGACCACCGTCCCTGAAGCTTAAGTAGTCCCTGTAGTGGTCTTTAAATTTTTCTGATTTGAAAGTTACAAAGACTTATAAGAACACAACTAGCACGCACCCCTAGAGTGGCCACTTTTGCAAGCTTTATTGCCCCTTGTAGGAAGAGTTAGAGTGGTCCTTTGAGGGGAAATTTCTTGGTAACCCTCTAGGGACCACTCTAGCATTTTCTAAGCACGTATCGTGAACAGAATCTATATAAATATACATATTCTAAGCTAGATTTTCAATTCGAATAATTAAATTCTTAGCTCAAAAACCTGGAAAATGCTGCTTTTTCCACTGCCCGTCCTCCCGATAATGGCCACTCGTCTTCCGGATTCGAAAGACAAGGAAATATTGTCCAAAGCCAAGGGGAGATTACTGGAAATTATACATTTTTTCTGGAGATGCTTCAAAAAATCACCTTTTATAGCGCAAGGAGACGTTTTTGAAGACAATCTTGCCACGAACCGTCGTTGGATCGATAAACTGAAGTTTTTGAATTTTTCTTGGCTTTTTTCATCGAAAAACCTTATCATTCCGACTTTTCTCCTCTTCAACTGTCTGCAAATACTCGTCGATTCGCTCTACGGACACCATTTCCTGTAAAATTTCCCGAAAAATGAAGAAAAGTTGGTTGAAAAATGATATAGCTGATTCACGGCTAGCTTGGGAGGCTAAGGGGGCGTGCCCTGTCTGCGCTCTCCACGAGCCAGACACTATCTCGTTCATTATCGTGTCAGGACCATTTTTTCGATAGCCAGCCGTGAATCAGTTATGAGAACGCATCAAAATTGTAAAATTAGTAACCTTTTCAGTTTCGATGAAAGATCCCAAAAGGCCATTCAAAAGGCTGGTCATCGACAACGCATAAGTGATTGCAAGGGCGACAAGGCCTGAAAATGAAAATATTCAAAAAAATCACAAAATATTCAATTTTTCTTTGAAAACAAGCTTCAGCTCGATTTTTTTTTTCAGTTCTTTATTTCCTTTTTCTCGGACTCTGGTAACATGAAGCTGGGCAATTCAAGGGGTCACTTGAGAGTTCCGAAACTACTAAAGTGGTCCCTAGAAATACTCCGAAACGTCCTTTTCGCGTTACCAATGTTCGAGTTGTTATTCGGAAAAACTTTTTGTTAATAAATTACTTCACAGTTTCTTAAATAGTTTATTAAAACTTGGAGTTTAATAACAACCGCTCCCGGACTGTTCAAATGTGGAAAAGTCGGCCGGTTTTTTTTTTGTGACGGTTTCAAACTCGTACTCGTTTCTTTGTAATATGACAAGCTTCAAAATCTAATTATCCACTGCATTGTCATCTGTTCTTTTTTGTTCTTCCCCTAAAACCCACCAATAAGTTTCCGAGGCACGTTTACTCTTCCTAAACCCCCTAATCTACATGAGTAACTATTTTTAAAACGATGCAATCTACATTAATCGCTCGCTAATTTCAAACTCAATGGAGCTATTTATACTTCGTTTTTTTTTTCTTTTTTTCTATCTTATTCTTTTTTTAAAACCCACCAGAATCGACATGAGTCACTCGATGCTGAATAATCGCGGCTACAGTGATCGCCGAAACAACTGCAACAGCAATCATAGATAGCCGAATGGAGAGCCATTGGCTGGCGGCCAACGACGAAAACTGCGCCCGTAGGTTGTTCGTCAGCCTCTCTCGGAGTTTTCCAGCAAATCTTTAATTTTTTTTTTTTCAAAGTTTGGATATTTATTTGAAACCGATCAGTCAATCTTTGAGCTCGGATGGTCACAAGTCCATTTACGGTATCCGAAAGGAGCGAATAAAGAGGCGACAAGGTTAGCGTCGAAAGTCGTTTCAGTTCGACGGTCGTCAGTCTGGAAATTGAAAATAGGACGTGATAAAGTATCAATTTCTCTTTGAGTGATCACTGGACAGACACAAATGGTCGAATAAGGGAAATTCAGTTTTTTCGAGAGCTGCTTCACAAAGATATTCATCTACTACAGAAAGGGAAAAAATTCAAGTTTGAGAAAAAAAAAGGCATCTTTTTTTTTTTTGAAGTGGCCACTAGAGAGATCCAAGATATATTTCCCTTTTTTCGAATGCTATAAAATAATTGATTATCTTCGAAAGAATAGAAAAAACATTCAACTTCGGGGCGAAAAAGTGATCGATCTTCTTTGAGTGATCACTAGAGAAGTTCAAGTGGTCGATTAAGTGATATTCATCCTTTTTTCGATTGCATTTATATGGTAAATACCAAAATTGAGACTGAGAATGGAAAAATAAAAAATCGAGATCATTGAGAGTTAATAATTTGAAAGGAACCTTCTTGATAAATTCAATTCAGTTTCAAATAAACAACAATACCGATATTAAAAAAAGAAAAATATCGAAAATTCAGTTTCGCGCTACTTTCACTTTTCACATAAAAAAACGTTATTTTTTTGAGATTTTGTCTTCCAATAGAAAAGAAAAAAAGTATAAAAATTTTAGATAACTCAACATCAAATTTCACAAAAAAATACAAGAAATAATTCATAATCACTGGAAAAAAAAGTCCAATTTTTCGAATTTCATGATCTTTCAAGACCTCAACACTGTTAGAACTACTGAAAAAGTTCTCAAAAAAAAATTTTTTTTTTCGGCACCCAAAATGTCACCTGTAATAGTTCTGAATGAAGAAATAGACGACGAAGAGCAAAATAACGACGGGAGCCAAGAAAGGAAGGCCGAGAAGCGTAATCACGAGGGATCCGATCAGATTGAAGAGGGAGGCGAGGAAAATGTTGAGCTTAAAAGTTTCAATTGTTTTTTATTTTATCAGGTTTCTTTGAAACTTGAAACGGCAAGTTGTCATCGACCGTGTAGACGTCGGAGCAGAGGCGATTGATCACACGGCCGGCCGGGGTTCGGTCCCACCACGACAATGGCGCCTACAGTAACCGAGAATTTCAAGATATAGCTTATTATTATGATGAGACAGCGAAATTTGATGAAAAAATGAAACTTCCCAGTCAAAAATAATCAAAAATCAAAGGTAAACAATTTAAAAAAAAATGAGACCAAAAATGGAAAGGATTCCTGCAAAAGAAGAAGCTCAGAAAATTCGTCAGAATATTTTTCATGTACTAGATCACGAGACAAAAATCCTAGACCTCGAAAAAAAGTCAAAAAAAGATTGAAAACCGTTAAAAATGGCCTTTAAAGTTTTAATTTTCAATGAATTCTCAAAAATTCCATTTTTCTCACTTTTTTTATAAAAAAACAGCTCATAATGAAAATTCTGGAGTTTGCGATTGTAAAAAGAGTGGATGAAACGGTGAACCCCGCTTTTCATAAAAAAAAAATTGATTGATTTATATTTTTTTTTCAAGTCTTAATGGGTTATTAGTGACTGATTCCTGTATTTGTAATCCATTTCGATAAAACTTACAATGAAAATGAGAAAAAAAAGCGAGATGGACCACTCAGAAAGTGGAAACACACAACGCGCGCGTTACGAACTTTCACATACCGTACCCATCGAAAACCGTAAAAATTGGTTTTTTAAGGCCTTTTTTGCTGATTTTTCTTGAAAAAATTTATCCCTCTGTCTTTTTTAGAGTATTTTCGGATCAAACCTTCATCAACTTGTGCAGCAACGACTCGTGGAGATATCTGGCCGCGATGATTCCACCGTAGGCAAAAAGAAAAGCTCGAATCAAGGTGAAAATCTGGAAAATTGGACGTCACTTTCCTTTTTCGTCGAGCCAATTTAAAAATTAAGAAAAACTTTTTTCTATTGATACTTTCTAGAAAACGTAGAAAAAAAAGAAAATTCTTCAAAAAAATTATTATAGTCTGAATCCTGTGAAAAAAAGACGGAGATAGAAAAATTGATAATATTTCATTTTCCTATGCTTTTTCCCTTGATTTCCGTCAACTTTACCGTGTTGGCCCCGGCGATCGCCGCATAAATGCACAGAAAACGAACGGAACGGTCCATTTCCTCGTCTCCGAGCATTCTTCAAGCAGAAAACATGAGAAAATCCCATAAATCTAATATTTATTACTCATAATAACGTCTTCCAGCCAGCCAAACTCCATTAAAGTCCTTGGGGAAGTTGGCCGAAGCGTTGGGGCCTTGAGATTCGGTCCATCTTCAATAGAAAACTGTTTTATGATTCCAGAAGCAGAAAATTTGGGAACTTCCTGTCTTATTTGAAGGAAAAACATCATTTTTGAAGCCAAAAAATTTTTTTGAAAAAAACTTTAAAAAATTGATATGAATCAGAATAAAGTAGCGAAAACGTAATTTCAAAAAGATCCATTAAAAAAAATTCCTACGTTTTTTACAGCCCAACTTACTGACTCTTCCTACAAAAATAATCTTCTAGGTCCCTTTTCCTCAAAATTTTCGAAATAAATCAGTTTTACAAAGGAAAATGTTACGTAATCAAGAAAAAATCGATATTTTCAACAGTCTCTTTTTTAACCTTAGGAAAAAAAAACTCCAGATTCAAATTATCGAACAATCTTCAGACGCGAAACAAAAATACTTTAAGAAATGGATTTTTGAACTATTACTGAAACCTATTTGCTACTGGACTTTAAAAATGAGGCTATAAAGCCTTTTTCTCGATTACTCTTTCAAATCCTTTCTGTTGCATTAAATGAAAAACAGCGCCTAAAAAGCTGAAAAAATTTCAAGCCAACCTGGGAAAATGTTTAGTGGCCAATATAGGGTTTAGACGTTATTCTGGCTAATATAGTAGTCAAATTAGTGGCCACTTAAGGGGTTAAAAATTAGCGGCCTCTATAGAGGTTCAAGTGCTACTACTAGACTACTAGAAATTTTAGTGGTCACTTTAGGGATCGATGGATCAACATAACTGGTCCAATCGGTTTGTTTTAAAAATATCAGAGTTACTGGAAGCAATACTGGGTGAAAAACTACTGAAGCGGCCACTAAATAAAGAACCTCTATAGTGGCCACTAAACATTTTCCCAGACCTGTCACTTTTGTGCCAGAAAAAGCCGTATTTTTGTCCTTTTTGCGCATTTTTTTTGGAGTTTCTCGAAAGGAAAATGCAAAATAATGCTGCTGTTACGGTAGCTTTTATTTCTCATTGAAACTTGGAAGTCTCGCGCGGAAATGGAATACTATATATACAAACTTGCTCAACCACCAATCGGCGCCGTTTTTGGTCGCCTGCATGGCGACCAAGGCGGAAATGATCAACACCGACATGGCGACCCCTGTCGCGACGCCGTAGGCCTTGTAGACCGAAACGCGGACGGCGCCGCTCTGGAAAAGACCTTTGAAAAAAGTTATTTTATTTCCAAGTCTATGGAGGGTTTTTTTTTCTATTGTTGCCACAATGGACTCTTGATTAAGAAAAATTACAATTTAAAACTGAAAAAAGTTTTTTAAGCTATGAAGCCAAGTCTTGGTAAGGCTCCATAAGGTCCTACATTTCTATTTGAAGACTAATTTTCGATAAATTTTATGGTCTTCCCAGAAAACTTGACTTTTTCAAAGTCCGTATCCAAATGGACATGCTCAGGGAACAGTTTTTCTCATGAAATTTGGATTTTTTTAATTTTTTTCCCTTTTCAAATTGATACAAAAACACTAAAGTGAAGCTTTGCTAGTGATCCCTATAGGGCTTGGGGAAAAAACGGGACAAAAACAGGAATATAGGGGACAGAAAAGTGCCCCTATAGAGGTAAAAATTAGGTGATCCCTATGAGTTTAAAGTCTCTTCCTTAAAAAAAAACGCCATTTTATTATATTTATCGCATGGGAATGCTTCTTCTCATAGTCCTAACAATACAATAATCGTTCAGCCTGCTTCCTAGGGACCACTAACTGAAGCCACTTCAAGGGTCCTGTTTTGCCAGGTTTAGGTGCCCCTATAAGGACCACTCTAGAGGTAGGATGAAGAAAAATGGTCTATAGAGATGACCTTCTCGTGCCCCTATAGGGGCCACTAACTAAAACCTCCATGAGCGCCTTGTTATCTAGCTTCAGCGGCCCCTGTAGGGGGAGGAAACGTGCTCTATAGAGGGACGCCTTCAAGGATCCCTATAGGGACCACTCTGGGGTTAGGGTGAGGAAAAATGGTCTATAGAGGGACGCCTTCAAAGACCTCTATAGGGACCACTAACTAAAATCTCTATAAGGACCATGTTTGCTAGCTTTAGTTGCCTCAGAGGGGAACCCTCACGTGCCCTTATAGGGTCCACTTGAAGTTCCTAAGAGATGTAACATCTTCCTGGAGTTTCCTGTTTCGTTGAGAATCTACAACTAGATTTTTTTCTTTTCTAAAATACCCCTCTTTTTGATATTCTTTCCAACTAACGACCTGCTTCTCCTCCTCGGGGACCAGCACGTTCTCCATGGAATCCCGTTCATCGACGAAAGAAATATCCTCGTGGAGATCATCTCCATGGCCTCTCAGAACGTCGGCAGCCGCGCCACGCAATTTCACACGGCCGTCGAAGTCCAAGACGATCATATAATTGGCCCGAGCCAGGAGCCGCTTTTCGTGTGACGCCACGACGATAAGTTTTCCCTGGAATTGTAATAATCAGGGTTATTTTTGATTTGGGAGGTCAGAAGAAAGGTCATCTCACTACTATTCCTGAAAAATTACCAGAAATTTCATTCGTAACCCAAATAAAGATAGTTAAAGTCATTTTAAAGTTGAAAAAAAAGGATCTCTTAAATACGAATAAAAATCCCCTAAAAACCCGTTAAAATCCAACTTTCTAGAAAGGACACCTAAAAGTCGAAGAAAACCTTCGAAAACTCGTGATGAAAACTCGAAAACCCGATTCTTTCTGGATATACCATATAAAAACCTTGAACGCCATCCTCAAGTCGGAAAACTACCTAGTTTTGAAAACAAAAGGAGCTTGAAAGTCAAAGAAACTCACTAAAAACCGCTTAAATGAGCCCTTTTTTCGAGAAATTACGGTTTGAAGTCAAAAAAAAAACCTCAAAACTCTATAAAATCGACAATTTCCAGGGACCTTTCTTAAAATTTCATGAGAAACAGACCAGAACACTTTTTTATTGTACCAAATAATGATCCTGAAAAATCATTCTCGAGCTGGAAAGCTTTCTATTTTTCAAAAAAGGATAGCTTCAAGTAAAAAAATACCCAAAAAAACAATAAGTCAATTTTTTTCGAAAAAAATCCCTGAAAATTCATAAAAAAATGAGCCTATTTTTTTCGGAAAAAAGATAGGTTTTCAATCAAAAATAGCTTCAAAAACAATTAAGTAAGCCATTTTTTTAGAAAGGACACCTCAAAGTCGGAAAAAATCCTATACCTTCGATAAAATGAGCAAATTTTTCAGAAAAAAAAGAACATTACAAAGTTAAACAAAAGCCAGAAATCCGTAAAAATGAGCAAATCTTTTCGGAAAAAGATCACTTGTAAGTCAAAAAGAACCCTGAAAATCCATTAGAATAGGCCTTTTCGGAGCATTGCGCCCTTATTTCTCGAAAGCCAGGAAATTTCACAGTTTGAGACTTCCATGACATTTTTCCGGTACACCACGGAGTTTTCTGGTCATCTTGTTTCAGATTGAAATTATCTTCCTTTTGAGAAAAACCAAAGAAAAGAAACCTTGTCCCTGAGCTTTTCCATGACATTTTTCCAGATTGAATCGGCCACTTTTCGGTCGAGCGAAGCAAATGGTTCATCGAATAGGTACACCGAATTGTCCTACAAATGTTCAAAAATTCTTATTTTTCAATCAGTTGGTTAGTACAAGTGTAAAAAAATCAGAAATTCAAAGAAAAAAATTTGACGTCTGAAACGGTAATCATCGATAAACTTCAATTTCATTTGAACTATTAGCATATTAGAATGAAAAATTGGACTCTTTCTGGAATTTCCTTATTTCTTTGTTCAATAAAACGTTTTTTCTAGTCTAAAGAGCACTGTTGGAAAAAAATCGAGAAGTGCACAAATGTCTTTTTTCTCACGATATTCTCGAGTCAAAATCACAAAATGCAATCTCATTGCTTTAGGAGTGGAAATCACATTATTTTGGAAGGTATGAAATGAAAAACTGCAAGATTTCCAACAGTGACTTTTTCCAATTTTTTTCCCATATATTTTTCCGGTTTATAAAAAAATTTATTAACTTTTTTTGTCCCTTTTTTTGTATTTTAATCCTGAATATACTGCCTATTCATATAGAAAAAAATTCAAAACGAAGATTTTATCTAGAAAAAAAAGTCGGAAAGTTCCCTAGCGACACGAAAAAATCAGAAAAGTCTCGTTAATTTTTTTTATACCACCAAAAATATTTCTTTGAAATAATTCAATATCTATGACCCCGAAAACTATTGGAAATCAAAAAAATATCGTGACATCAAAAAAATGCGCGAGCCATTCCAAATGCGGTCGAGCTACTTTTCAATACGAAAAAAAGTTACAAAAATATCATCATTTATTGTTTATTTTTTTCATTGATTCGATATTTTTGTGATTATATTTCTTGAAAAACTATTCCCTTTGAAGCCGCTGAACTATCAAAAAAAAAAAAACAAGGATTATTTTTAATTTTCGAGGAAAAAAACCTGATAAAGAGCCCTGGCCAGAGCGACCCTGGTCCTTTGGCCGCCACTCAAAGAAGATCCATTATCCGAAATTTCATAGGCATCTCCGCCGGGCATCAACTAAAACTCTCTATTTTTCCCTTCAGAATCTTGAAAAAATGACCTGAATATCCGAAATGAGGCAAGAATCTCTCAGAACTTCCTCGTACCGAGCCGGTTCAAAGCGTTTCCCGGCGAGGATATTCTCACGAATAGTCCCTAAGAATCATTTTTATTTCAATCTCTTTTTCTTCATATTTCACTGAAGTATTTCATAAAAAAACTCGCAGAAAAAAAGAGCATTTTTTTCATAATTTTTTTGTTTCAAACTTCTTCAAAGCACCAAAAAGTTGAACAAAAGCTCGGATTTTTTTCTCTGGATCAACCTTTTAATATAAAAACTACTAATATTCAACGATTATGTCACGGAATTACAAAAAAACGCTTTTTTTCTTTGTATTTTTCTATTTTTCCTAGCAGATGTTTCACTTTTTTTTGAATTTTTTTCGCAAGAAGAAAGCTGCCTTGACAAAAATTTATAAAAAAAGCCGCTTTTTGTGTTACCTCGAACTTCAAAATTTTTTTGTTGTCTTTTTCGTTGAAACTTTAAAAAAATAAAAGGAAACTACGTCAGAAAAAAATAGTGATTTAGAATGCATTAAAAAGACCAAACTATCAGAAAGCATTTAAAAAAAGAGAGAATTGTATGAAATGCAATATTTCAATATTTATTATTCAATTTTTTTGGTCCTTACGCCGTGTTGGAAGAAAAATATTGAAAAGTCCAAAAACAGCTCTACGAAACTCGGAAGGAACTGCTATTTTTTTGGATTTTTTTCCGAACGATGATAAAATGATGGTAGGAAGGAATTTTTGGTTCCCCGAATATTCGTGAGCGTTAATTGTGCATACACCAATCTTGGAGGCTCGAATCTTTGAAAATTTGAATTTTTGCAAACGATTCTTGGGATAAATTAACCTCTTTTTTGAATTTCCATCTTTTCTTTCCTTCATTTTTTTTTCCTTTGTCGTTTTATTGTGAGGATGTCGTGTTTCGACCACAAATGAACACTGTGTGATTTTTTTCAACTAACTTTTTATCAAATAATGCGCCTTTCTCGCATAGACGTAGTCAAAGATTCGCTGCAGAACGGCTACCACATTTTCATTCACTCTGTATATATTCTCCATCAACTTCTGGTAACAAAAACATTGGAAAAATTATAAAAAATCAGAAAAGAAGTGAATGTTCCCAAGAATCGTTTTCAAAGCTTCGAGCCTCCAAGATTGGTGTATGCACAATTAACGCTCACGAATATTCGGCAACCCAAAATTCCTTCCTACCATCGATAAAATGAATTTTTCGACTTTTCAACTTCCAAGTACCTCTAGATTCATTATTTTAATTTTTTTCCGATGATTCCAGGAACTTCCTTTCAAGTTTTCTCTTCCGAGCGCCTGGCTCTCCAAAATTTAGATATCTTTTTCACTCTCTTAAGGCTATTTCGAATTTCGCGCAGCCAACATAGTACTCGAATCACCATTCGAAATCATCCACCTCTCAAATAATCGCGCTGAAACTTGGATCAGAGGTATAACTGTTTTTCAAATCACACTTTTCATTGAGATTCCTACTCAGTCACTCATCACGTCCTAGACGCGTGCGGCACTGTCCAGCCACCCCCAAAAAACATGCGCCCGACGGCCAGCGACTTGCGCTCTCTGCCATTCCTTATCATGCGTTCACAATCAAAAACCGCTGTTTCGTCGGCGTAAAACCCTCATTTCACTTTATTTTCGATGAACTTCATGAAAATAGTTTTGAAAGCTTCCAAAGCCTTGAAATCCCCTAAAAATCACCTCTCCAGAGCCATCTTTCCTGTCCGACGTAGCCGAAACCTTGCGAAATCGAAGTTTGTCGGATTTTCATGGCTTCAATCAGATATTTCGTTTCTCCAAGGATTCCTCAAAATCGGCAAATTTATTATGAATCAAAATCCACGGAAAACCTTGCAAAAGGGTCGATTTTCCGCTTCCGACCTGGCCGGTTATGCCGATAATTTGGCCCTAGAAGCTCAATCTTCAGTTGTAAATGACGGGAAAAGGTAAATTTTGATTAAAAAATTTACAAGAAGCTGAAAAATTGAGAAAAAAAACTAACTTCTTGTCCTTCAAAATTGATTCCCTGGACGGCAACCGTGTTGGAACTCCAGAAAAAAACTGCCCTCGATCACAGAAAGTAGCGTTTTCTCGTCTTAAAGATCGATATTCAAAAAATCTTCTATTTTTTTTCCAATTTTTTTCAAGAATAATATTTTAATTAAAAGAATATTTTCGAGTGTTCCCTAGAGGGTTTTCACTCGAAAAATGGGGTTCACTTTGATAAAAATAATATAATTTCTATGCAAAGCATCATAGAATATCGAAATCGATCACAGAAATCAGCATTTTTTTCGTCTTAAAAAAACTATATTCGCAAAAAAATTTCTAACATTACAATTTTTCCCTACTCATTCAAGAAAAATATTTTTTTCAAACTTCGGGGGATTTTTGAGTGTCCACTAAAAGTTTTTTTCTCGCAAAAAAATGGAATTAATATAGAAAAAAATATATTTTCTATAAAAAAATATCGAAAAAAATACAAAAAAATGAACCTTCTGAAACCGTTTTTTCAGAACTTATTCTAAATTTGAAACACAATAAAAAATCATTTTGAAATTGCCTTATTTTTTTTACTTTCCTTATTCTCAAGAAACTAATAATTTTTTTCTCAAATTTTCGCGTTTGAACCTTTCAAAAATCATTGAAATTTCAATGAAGCTCAACTTTTTTTAATTTTCCGATGTAAGTAAATTTTTTTCATTTTGAACTTATTCTATAAACAGAAAAAAATGCGAAAAACTGTAAAATAATCTTTTTTTCTGAAATACTCATTACCTTTTTTTCCGGTTTTCGTCATGTAAGGCCTTGTAAATTTTCATGAAACAAGGATTTTCCAATATTTTCTGCCCAAATGCATAGCTTTTCAACTAAATATCCTTTTATCTTTGATTTTCTCTCATTTCTCTCGAAAAACCAACCCGAAGCCTGTGAATAAATGTCGTTCATGTCGATATTTCTCAGGGCAAAAAACCATTCCAGCCGTTTTATCGAGACCAAAGCCTCGACCAAACCGTTCAGAACCCACGGAAATGCGTTCAGAGGCATTATCAAGATATTAACGAGGGCCAGGGAGGTGAAAACCTGGAAAATTGGATCAATGAGCTTTGAAAAATGCAACGAAAAATCTTATATATGGTCGAAAAATGATAACTTTGCAAAAAAAAAAAATGGAAAATTACTCATCAAAAATTTTTTTATGATGGACATTTCTTTTAATTTCAAAAATTGAGTCTTCTCACTAGGTTCTTGCTACAGTCAATTTAATTATATTAAACCGGAAATTAAATGAGAAAAAAGTAAATCTTCAAAAATGATTTGAAAAACGATGCTGTCGAAATTACGAAAGAGGAACCACTACCAAAAATCGAAACATCATTTTCTACTTGTATTTTGAAGGAAAAAAAAATTCGAAAACGCTCGTTCTTTATAAATTTTCGATGGAGCACAAAAAAAACGGTCGTTTTTTACAGACATCGCATTATTTAAACACCTCTAGTTCATAGCATGCACAGAGTGAAGACAAGAAAAAATTCAGCTTGAAAAACGAATCTGAAACGGCAATCTGATGAAATCGGATCCAAACCTTGGCGGACGTCAACTTTTCATGTAGGACCAAGGTGTACGTGGCCAAAATGGAAATCGTGATCAAAAGCGGCGCCGAGGCCCACAAATACACACAAACTGCGTCGAGGTACTTGCGGATCTGCAACGAATACGGATTAAGAAAATCATGGCGAAAAATTTACAAGAGAAGGTTGAAACGGTTAAGAAAAATAGTCGGCAATAAGCTTTTTTCAAGCTTCCGAGTATTCAAAAATGGATCCTTGTCTATGAAAAAAATCAAAAAAAAAATATAAAAATCTTGAAAAATACCTAAAATTCTCATCTTACTGCGAAAAAACTCTAGTGGCCACTATAGAGGTGTTCTAAGGACTACTTGGAGAAGACACTAAAGTGGCCACTAGAAACATATGAATAGAAGCCTCTTTTTCGGGTTTTTGTGGCCCCTATAGTAATTTTAATAGTCCAGTATTATCACTCAGACCTCTGAAGAGGCCACAAAAATCTAACCACTCAAGTAGTCATTAATTCAGCTACTATAGTGGCCACTAAAACGTCGAAACCCTTAAGTTACCACTAAAATTTCTCACAACATCAGAAATTTTAACAAACCATACTAAAAAAACTTGAATTTCTAGCTACAAAGTAACTACAAAAAATGAAAAAAAGCCTTTTCAAAATTCATTTTTTTACCTTCAAATAACGGAGCTCGGCGTTTCTCAAATCGGTGATTTTCTGCTCGAAAATCCTTTCCCAGGAGGACATTTTGATCACTTTTTATTCCTTCCATCGTCTCCTTGATCATCTAAAAATGGAATATTTTCTCCCAATCTTCAAAAAAACGTATTAGTTATTTGTTTCTAGATAAAGAGTATATATTCATGTGAACCCTAGATTTTTAAATTGAATTCAAAAAAAGGATTTTTTTCCAATTTGTTTCACACAAATCGCATTTCTGAGGCCCCCTGAAACCATTCTTTAAGAGTTTTTTTGAAACTTCTTTGAAAAAATGAATTTAATAAACATAAATTAATGATTAAAAAAATTGAGATTACCTTTTCAAATTATTTTAAAAATCAACAGAATAAAGCGTGAAATTCTTGATAACACTTGAATATGAGAAGTTAGCAACTAATGCCTCGAAAATGTTCTAGTGACCACTTTAGTAGCTTCAGAACTCTTAAGTGATCCCTAGAAATGTCCAGAAACATCCGTTTCGCGTTACTGATGACCAAGACATATATCTTCAAAGTCGAAAAAAAAATACAGGTTTTTACAAAATGCGACCGCTTTTTTCGTGCTCCACTGAAAAATTAATAAAAATACACGCGTTTCTTGATCTTATCTCTTTCGCCTTTTCTGGCACTTTATCTCAAATTTTGTATTTTTTTCCTTTGAAAAACGATTCAATAGTAATACAACGAAATTAATAAACTCATTATGATAAAAATATTTTTATTGCTTGAAAAAAATTAATAAACCAAAAATGAGGTGAAAAAAATTGGATATGGGACAAAAATAAATCTTGAAAAATGGTTTACTGTCAAAAATAAAAAAGGCATCAACAGGCTGATTAGAAAAAGAATAGAAAAAAATTAAAAAAATTATTTTTCATTTTAAAAGAAAAAAATGAACATTCAAAAAAACGCAGGTATGTTATTAATTTACAGTGGAGCACAAAAAAAGCGGACGCATTTTTCTAAACGCCCGTATTTCATAAGAGCTCGAAAAAAATGTTCCCAACATCACAAAGTGTCTACATTTTTTTGTTGAAAAGTATTTGAAACAGTAAACTTCCAAAACAATTTATTTGGATTCAAATCAATTTTAATCAAACTTTTCCACATTAAAAATTTTTTTGAAACTGTGAACACTTTTAATTTTTAATTGTCCTATTTTAAATTCTCACGAAGAATTTTCCTTTTTAAATTTTTTTTTTTTTGGAGAAAAAAATTTTTTTTGATCAAAAGTTGTCTTGTTCTGATGGATAAAACATTGAAATCAGAGATTTTCTCTCAATCAAAAAAATTAACTCAAACTCCTGTTTCAATGTTTATATAATAAAAGAAAGCCCTTTTCTCAAAAATTAATCCTCTCTTATTTTTTTCTTTTTTTCAAATGTCAATTTTATCCATTGAAAATTGGAAATTTCCACTTTTTCCCTGTTTTTTCAATTTTCTATTACTTGGATTATAGAATTTGATTTTTTCTTTTTTTAATCTTTCAAAACTCACTCGGATCCTCAAATCCTTGCAATTCATCAGCCTTTCGCTCATTTTCCCGATATAATTCGTTATAACTTTATTGATGGGAATGAGTAGAATGGCGGCGACGAGACCCGAGATGAAGGCCATTCCAACCTGCAGATCAAACCAAAAATAGCTTGAGAACATGATTTAATGAAAAAAAAATGCCATTTTCAGAAAAAAAGGCCGGTTAAAACTGAAAAATCTGGAAGAAAAATAAAATAAAAATTAATTTTTAGAAAATGTTTTTTTTCTGAACAAACTCCTCTGTACAAAAAAATGATGAGTGACTCGAAATTGCGAATTTTGTGATTTTTAACAAAAAACTCATGAAAAACTCGGTTCAATAACTGTTTCAAAAGCGAAGAGTTCGAAAAAATTGAAATTTTCTTCAAAAAAACCTTTAAAAAAATAAAACCTTTCTTTTTTTCATAGAAAAAACCTTATAGAATCACTAAGAAAAATTACAGAATATAAAGAAAACATTCTGAACAAACCTCTCTATGAAGCAAATACAAGGCGACGCAAAGTTGGACCGGCAAACTCCAAAAAAAGCGTGGAAAAGAATTACAGAAATTGACGATACAATCGACGTCCGTCGAGATAAAAATTCATCATTTTCCCTTTTAAAAATTTCAATTTTTTTCGATTCAAAAACAAGGAAAAAAATGAAAAACTTGGGACAAAAAAATGAAAACTTTCTATGCAAAAACTTGAGAAAAAAATGGGTTTTTTTCATAGCGAAACTCGGGAAAAATGTAATTTTTTTAAAAAAATTTCTTCACATTTTCAAGATCTCAAAAGTTCAATTTTTGTCCTGAATCCTGCTTTTCTTGAAATTCTAGAAAAAAATAAAATATTTTCCGCCAATTTTTTTCTCGTGGATTGTACAGCTTTTTTTGAATCTTTTTGAAACAATAAAACAATAACTTTTTTTCTCGAAAAAAATTACAAAAAAATTTCAAAACGACACGTTTTTCCTTCCGAAAAAGTCGAGTAAAAAGTATTCATCTTGACAAAAAAACGCTGAACTCTGAGCAACGTCACGTTTCTGTTTCGAATAACGACTAAATATGGAGTTGATTATTCTATTTGTTCGTCCCTCCCAATTGATTGAAACTCACTTTTCTTTTTTTGAGTAAAAAGTGCGAATTTTTTTGTTGCAAAAGTGACCGTATAACAAACTTGACCAACCAAATTTCGTTTCGATACAATTTTTTCCAATTTTTGTGAAGAAAAATGAACAAACGGCTGTGGATACGGTAGCTATTTTTTGCAAAAAGTACCGTACTTCCCTTCGAGACCTTTTTGTAGTTTTGTAGGCAAAAATGAAAAAAGCTGGGGATACGGTAGCTTCTGTATCTCCAAAAAGTACCGTATACTAAGTTGGACCAAATTTCGCTTCGAGGCCTTTTTTTGGTGAAATTTTAGAGAAAAGAGCCAAAAAATTGTTACGGTAGCATTTTTTTCGGCTGTGCTTTTAAACGTGATTGCTTCTCGCATAACAGACTATGGAGCATAAAGAGGATAAAATCTAGTTCTAAAAAAAACTGATTTTAGGTTATTAGTAACGCTAGAGTGGTCCCTAGAGGGGTTACTTCAGTTGTCTTCAAAGGTCCACTCTAGGGGTCCCTAAGTGGTTTTTTCCTCCGATTTGCTTCAAAGACGTTACCATTCTGCATGGGACATTTTCACCAGGAAAAAAGGCAATTATTACCGGAAGAAACGCCGCGCATTTCGGCCAACGGGACACAGGTCAGCTTGTCGTACACCGCTGTGATCGTCGCTGCTCGGACCCTTTTTTATCGATTTTTTAAAGCTTTTCTTGAAGAAACCAACTTGAAGCTGATCTTCTGGACATAATAGTTGAAATTCGCAGAGAAAAGAGCTGCGGCCAAGGAGCAGACTATCATTAGACCGGCGTAAGTGTAGCTGTCGTTCTGGAAAAAAATTTTTTGCGACGATAAAATATTATTTTCAATCTTTAAAAAATCAAAAAAACTTCTTAAATTTTTTTTCACGTCTAACCTCTCATAAAATAAAAGTTCACTCGAGAATCTTCTAACGAAAAAAAAACAGGAAAAATGTCCCTCTTACTAGAGGAAAAAACGGCTCTTAAAATGAAAAAAATAGTGCTCCCTATAGAGTTAGAATTTAAATGTTCCCTATAGGGGTTCAAGTTCTGACTCCTAAAGCTTGAGTGGTCCCTAGAGCGGTTTTCAACTTTTCGTTCTGCTATGACGTTCAAAACGACCCCAATAGCACGCTGCCCTAGAGTGGTCATTTTTGCAAGCTTTAGTGGTCCCTAGAGGGACACATTCAAGTATTCCTAAGCCTGCCCCTCCAGGGACCACTCCGGCGTTCCTAAGTAGGTCGGTCACACTTGCAGCACCATTTTTGTTAAACCCCTGAGTGACCACTCAAAAGTTGAAAAAATCACTTTAGTGATCATTTAATGGTTCATTTTCTGACGTGAAGGACATCTGACGCTGATTCATTTTCAACCATTGAAGCTTTTTTTGAACTTCATAAACTTCTCTTAAGCGGAAAAAAAGCTCAAAGTCCCGCAAGTTCGGGATAAAAACTTCAATAAAACCAAATTTTCTGTTTTTCCTTGGAATTTCCTCTTTTTCTTCCTAAAATCCCATTGAGACGAACCGTAGGAAGGGGCGAATCGAAGGTCTGAACGAGAAGATGAAGCAGGATGGGTCCGGCGAAGGTGAAGGCGTCAGAAGCGAGACGAAGAACGGCCAGGGAGAAGAATTGGACGCCGAACGTCGCCAGAAGGGACTTGGCGATGGAATAAGGAGTTCCGTCGGAATAAAAGGTCGGAGAATTTTCGACCATCGCCCTCTCTACAGTGCCCACTTGGAGGGAGGGTGGGAGTTTGAAGACGTCGTCCAACTGGAAAAAAAGTACTGGATTTTTTTAAAGGTTTTTTTAAAAAGATTTGAAAAAGTTCCGTTAAAAAAACAAAAAAAGTTGAAAAAAATGAACAATTTTTCGTCATACAAACGCCTATAAATGAGGAAAAAAATAGTTAAAAAAATGAAAAAAATTCCGATTTTTTTAATGAAGACGAATTTATGATGGCTCTAATTTTCATTGGAAATTTTTTTCAAAAACTCCGAAAAATTCAAAAACCGGTAAAGAAACCTAATGTGTAAAAAGGATAGAAACGCCAGAGTGGTCACTAGAGGGATCAGGGAGAAAAAACCTAACAGCAATCAAAATTTAGCTCTTCCTAGAAGACCAAATTTTATCTGGTCAATATTAGTTTACCCCCCTTAAGCTCAAGTGGTCCCTAAAGTGGCCTTTTATTTTTTTTTAATCGACAGTCATCATTTTTAAAAAATTGACAAAACTGTTATTTTTCTAACACCTGAAACAGAACGTTTTTTTGCGTCAAATCTTAATTTTTGTCCCTTGGAAACCCTAAAATGCTCCCCCTAAAGTGGCCACTTTTTCAATCTTTAGTGCCCTCTGAAGGGGAGGTTAAACAGCCCCTTGAGGGGAATCTTTAAGCACGCCTCTAGTGACCACTTAAATGTTGAAAAAAATCCATTTTCAAAGAAAGAATTTGATCAACATTTTTCGTATGAAATCCAGAAGTATAGCCGAGAAGCACCGATAAATCTTGCTATTTGTTTTTCCCTTGGCTGTGAAACTGTAACATCATCTATTTTCTTTTATCCTTCTTTTTTTGATTTTGAAATTCCTTTTCAATTTTCCCACGACCAACCGCATTCAGCTGCTTCCTGCCGCCTTTTTTCACGAGTTGATTTGTCCAAAGGAAGAAAATCCGGGAGAAAATCGAGGCCTGTTCGTCGGCCAAGTCGTCCAGATGAACAGTTTCATCGACTTCGAGTGGAAACGCGACGTGGGAAAAAAATTGGGATCTTCTGGAAAAAAATGTCGCTTTTTCACCAGAAAAGGATGGAAAAATATGAAAAATCTAATATTTAGTGGGAAAAACTTTAGTGACCACTTGAGAGGTTCCTAAAGGACTACTTGGAGAGAACACTAAAGTGGCCACTAAAACCACCTTTTAGAAGCCACTATTTTGCGTCTTAGTGGCCACTATAGTAGTTTTTGTGATGCAGTAGTTTACTCAAAAAATCACTGATTTTTTTGCCACTTAAGTGGCCTCTAAGTCGACTACTATAGTGTCTACTAAAAACATCAAAGCCCTAAAGTGGTCCCTGAAAAAAAGTAGTTTCATCAAAAGAGCCTCTGAAAAAAACAATAAAACTTTTTTTAAAAAAACGGAAAAATACTCTATTTAAAAATTCTTAATAATTTCCTCAAAAATTTAGATTTTTTTATATCAATAAAATACTTTAAAACATGTGCAGTTTCAAAAAATCTCAAAAACTGGTAATTTCCTCGAAAATTACAAATTTTTAAAAGCCGTTCATGACAAAAATTCACTAAGAATGTTCTTCGCCTCAAGACCTTCATAAATTTTGCCCATGCGCCTTTAAAAATAACCAACTTGTGAATTCGCCACTCGATGAATCCATTCACCGAATTGATCGTTTGAAAAACGGCCAAAACTGCTATAATTATGGTTCTTGGGTTCAGAAATCCGTATAAAATCCATCGATTCGCCAAAATTAAATAATAAACTTTCGAAGCGAAAAAGGCCGACACCACGAGTTCTCTTGATCTTGTCCAACTGAAAAAATACCTATTTTACCTTAAAAAATGATAAAAATAACGGACCTTTGCTCGAAAACCGAGAAAACCCACAAAAACGCATAGGCGAGCCATGTCAAGGCCATCAAACCGTATTCAATTTGAAACGCCGATTTTATTTCGAAACCTTTTCCCTTGAAAAAAACAATTAAAACATTATTTTGCATTTCATCTACCCCAAATGCTGTGAAAACTATGGAGAAAACCAGAACGGCGGCTGAAACGAAGCTCACAAAAGATCGAAAAATGAAAATTCTCGGGATCGCGGGAGATTCAAAGCGAGGGTAGAAACGCTGAACAGAGTATTTTAAATACTTTCCACTCTTTCATCTAATCATCACCCTGAGAAGTGAGTAATTTATCAAAGTGAAGAAAAAAAGCGGGATCGTCTGAACCGAAATAAGCAAAAGCTCGGCGCATGGCGTTATTGTCATGGTGGATTCATCCAGGAAATACCTCAAAAATACATATTTCCCTCAAAAATCCACACAAAAACTAACTTGGTTCGAAAAGAAGATCCATTCGCAAAGCCACAAAACTCAAAAACGTCGTTTCTATCTGGCAAAGCCATTTCCGCCATTACGGCTTCCCACAAACGGGAAGCGACGTTAAAAAAGCTGAAAACTGTAAAGTTATCCGATGAACAAGTTTAAACGAGAAAGAATGATAAAGAAATCAGAAAAAATAAACAAAAGGACGGAATTTCAAAATTTGAAAAGAAAAAAAACATGAAGTAGCAAGCGCGCCCCGTCGCCAATCCGGTTAGGCTTGCCGCGAGTTTGAAATCTTGTCAAAAAGTTATTATTTTTATAAAAAGATTGAGAGGAAATGACATGGACGAAATTTACAAGGTATTCATACTTCGAAAAAAAAAATCATTAGTTCAGAAAAAAGAAGTTTGATATATTCAATCGGAACCTCATTCATTATTTTCAAGCCTTTCCAAAATAAAAAAGTGAAGTTTTTGAACTTACCACTGCATTTCATAGCTTCTGAAAAGTGTCAAGAATATCAGTTAGCCTGAAAAAAAGGTGTGAAACTGATAAGAGAAGCAAGTGCGCTCCGCCAATTACAGTGATAAGCATGAAAACGTACATTTTCAAAACTTTTCCTAATTATATTAAGAATATAATGCGAATACTGACCCTTTTGACATCCTTGACCGATTCACATGAACAAACTCTACACAACGGATTCAAAATCAAATTATTTTTGATACTTTTTTGGCTGTTATTTTCATATTTTTTATCCCAGTACTTTACATGTTGAACTATCGTTTTGTCTTGAATCTTGAGTTGAAATTCGATTTCGCGGCTCTCGGAAATTGCATTGGAGCAAGGGCCACACACAAAACCCATATATTTCTGGCTGGAAAAGTCGTCAACGAGTCGAAAAAGCAGTAGAAACGCTGGCTAAGCGAATTGCTTCCACCAAGAAAAGCCTTCAAACACGCGACCACTACATCCTTCTTACTTTTCCAGCTTTTCAAAGCTTTCTGGAGTGTTTTTATTGTCTTGTTTTAGTTTAAATCAACAAAAACGTAATTTTCTAGTGCCGAGAATGGATCTCACCTCTTATGAGTTTATTTTTTTGTGAAAAAAATTGAATTTATTGATGTTTGAAACCATAGTTTACGTTTTGAAACCAAAATTTTAGCAAGTAGGAAAAAAATAGCCTTACTTAAAGTTTTTTTTTAAAAAAATCGCTTGAAAAATTAATTTTTTTCGCAAATTTCAAAATTTTTTTCTTGAATTTTTTTTCCTAGAAACCTTGTTAAAGTTTTTTTAAAGAAGCATATACAATTTTTTTATAAAGCCCTTAAAGCTCTGCGCCTTTAACCACTTCAAAAATATTTTTTTTTAATCCTTGAAAAAGAATGTGATTTAGTGATTTTCATAGAAACCTCGTAATAAAATTACACGCTCTCCTTTTTTTATTTTCCTTTTTTTGCACTTATATTTTAGCGGAAAAATGTACTTTCAATCTAGAAATCTATCAATGTCTTTTTCCCCAACATTCTGATTGAACACCTTTGAAAAACCTTATGAATAATGCCTCATTAGCATTGAAAAAGGGGTTTTCACATATTTTCAATGTAAATCGACCTATTCAGCTTTTCAATGTTCTTTTATAAGATAGAAAAGGTTATCGCGCTTAAAAAGAGGAATTTTCGAAAAGAATTCTCGTAGGTGTAGTCGATGTTGGTGAGTTTTCAAGTTTCTTTATTTTTGATTTCAAGTCGAAAACTTCAAGATAAAAGCTTCGAAAAAGACTTTTTTCAACATCAAGGGAATTGGTTTTGAAAAAATATATTGAGAGCTTCATGTTTTATTTTCTAGTTCTAACCTCTTTTTTTCGATTTTCACTTTTTTTGAATGCATTTGTAATGGTTCAAAGCAGTTATTTTCTTCGAAACGAAAAAAATTTATAAGTTTTCAGAGTTTGAGTGCCATTTTTTTAAGGGAAAATCCTGAAAAATTATTTTGTTTATTTCATGAAATAATCGTTTTTTTAATGAATTCCTCCCTTTAAAAAAATCATTTAAAAATAAATTGCAAATTACATATAAATAAAAATTTCACGGCAAAAAAACTTTGGTGACAGCAGAAAAAAATTGAAAAATTGAAAGAAACGAAGAAAAAAAGCGAAAATCCGAAAAAAATGGCGAAGCCTGTTGTCCATAGAGCAACTTTACTGCAAAGCGCCCTTTTTGCGGGAACTCAAGCTTTCCTCTCTTCTACTTTGAATTATTTTTTCTTTAAAACTAGGAACTTCTGAACGTTTCCAAGTTCACCTTTCGATTCGCAATGAAAAACTCTAAAAAATTACTACTTTGAACTGAAACATCGTTTTTTACTGCCCCTATGCCATTAATATAAGTTATAATAAAGTTCAATTTCGATCCCGACCTGTTAGACCTATGAAATACGCATTTTATCTCGAAAGAGCCATTTTTCGTTGACTCGAAGTTCCATAATGAGGGCTCGAATCCATTGTTTTCCAAGTGCGCGGAATCGAGTCGAAGTGAAATTGTCTCTCGAGAAGCCCTAATTTAATCGCGTTTTGCACCCGAGGCATCGAAGAACGCGACGTCGAAAGTCTCCACAAAACACAAAACGCAATTTGACGTTTGTTCAATTTGACGACTCGACAGAAAGACTTCAGATGTGAGCTGAAATCGTCATGATCTTCCTCCTGCTCCTTTTTTTCGCACCTCCGGTCGGTTCCATCGAGTGTTTCCAGTGCGAGAGCGACTTCCAGAACGTCTTGAGGTTCTCTTTTTCTCAGAATAGATTGAAAAAATGATCAAATTCATAAAACTGTCTTTAAAAAAAATGAATTAAAGAAGAGTATTCCCATAAATCTTCCCTTAGAGGCTAAATCTAAAATTTGTCATCTTACCTTTTTTTTTTGGAGCCCTTCTGTATGAAACTCTAGTGGTCCCTTAAGAGATACTCAAGAACACTAAAGTGGCCACTAAAACAACCTCCATAAAAGCCACTATTTTATCTCTTAGTGGCCACTATAGCAGTTGTAGTGGTCTAGTAGTATCACTGAGACTTTAGAGGCTTACTTTTGGCCCTTAAGTGGTCACAGAGTATACTGTAGTGACCACTAAAGCGTCAAAACCCTAAAGTGCCCACTGGAAATTTTTCCAATGAGATTCCAAAATCCCAATTTCATAATTTTGTATGTCTTTTTTTCATCAAACGGAATACGTTTCTGAAAATGTATATACCGGAGGTCCACTTGATCTTTCAGTTCAGATTGCATGGTCGGAAAAAAAAATACAATCTACTTTTTCTTTATCAAATTTTCCAGTGACAAAAAAGAATAAAGAAACTTTTAGGTGCAAAGAGCCCTGCTCGGGAGATCAATGCGTCGTTTGGAAGTGGAAAAAACGGGACGGTTTAGCGATAAGACAAGTTATTCCAATAAAAATGACATATTTTCAAATTTATATATTCTCAGGGCTGTCTCAAAGGAATCGATGAGCGTTGGACTTCGAAACCGGCTTGTAGAACCAATCATCTCGGAGCTTCTTTGTGTGTCTGCAGGTGGGTGGCCGCATTTGGAATGGCTCAGAGCGTCGCGGTTCCGTTTTTAAATTCAAAGTCGTTTTGACATTTTTCGAGTGTTTGCGTCTCTCTGTTCTCTCAGAGAAACAGGAAAATAGCACGTCAATATGAGAGGGTCGTTGAGAGACGAGGAGGGCGCAGAGAAAAATGGAACTTTTTATGTCGCGAAAAACGGAGTATATCGCATTTTTATTCTCTTGTGCACAACTCGTTTTGAGTCGGGCGCATTTTACAGCTATAGTCCGTTTTTCGCGACTTGAAAGGGCGGGGCTTCTCTGCGACCTCCTTATCTCTCGACATCTCTCTCTTGTTTACGTGCTATTTCCACGTTTCTCTGACCTCGCCGATGAGGGAACATAGAGACGCAGACATTGTCAAGTCGCGAATTCACTCTTCTTTTTTGGTTTTGAACACGAAACTGCATTAAAAAATACTCTAAAAAAATCGAAAAAAAAAGTTTAACTAAAACGGGAAACTCATCTCTGTAGTTCTTTTCATTTACTACCGGGCTCATAGTTTAATTTTCTCATCTCAGAAAATCTCAAAGTTTCAAATCACTTTTCCAGTGACGGAGACATGTGCAATCGGGTCGAAAGAGCCGAAAACGCGGCTCGACCTTTGCCGACGATTCGACTGCCTGCCGTCGAGTGCCAGAGCAAAGTTGTTCGTAGAAACTTCTTTTTATTATTCGAAAATCTGCAATCATTTTCATTTTTTTAAACAGACTAAGCAACTTTTTTTATCTTAGCTAAAAAAAGCTTAAAAAAATAGCGCTTTTTTTGTCTTTATTTGCGTATTTTGCAGACTTTGGGGGGCTGAAAAATCGTTCTCTAGTGAGTTTAAATCTATGCCTCGGTAAGAAAAAAATCTGCCCAAAAATCTTAGAAAAAAATGTGAGTTTCTTATAAAAAAATATTTTTTTTCTTTGAATTAGTGAAGAATGAAGGGTCTATTTTATTTTTCCAACAAGAAAAAGTATCCTTTTTAGGATATTTTTTCTAAACCTTTCCAGGCGAGCACCAGCTTCATCGGCCCCCGGAAAGAGCACTCCTGCACATCTAACTACTGTCACGCCTCAAAAACCGAGGTGAATCACAAAAAATTTCGAAAAAACATTCGAAAAACATCAGACTTTCACGGAAGACACAGCTCCCGACGTTTTGAGCATCTACAATTGTGGCGATATCCCGGAATTCGATTTCGATGTCCGGTTAAAGAGCTCGGCTGAGGTAAAATAATTGATTTGAGAAAAAATTTGTCATTTGGAAGGTGAAAAACTGTCCTTTCGACGGAAAAACGCCGCGCCAAAATTTTTCCGTAAAGTGTAGTGTGTCGTGTGCATGCACCGCGGCGCTCTCGCACATGCCACGTTCAAAGTAATTTTCCCAAAAATTCAAAAATCTTATCTAATATTCTGAAGTTCAGTTATATTTTTCACTATCTGGTGGCTATTTTGAATTTCGCGGGATTACTTTCAACACTAAATTAAAAAACAAAAAAATCGCGTTTTTTTCAAATGAGAACTAGATTCGTCTCACCACCCATTGATGCGCCTTTAATATTTCCTGTTGTTTACGCGTTTTTCTCATGACGTCAGGTTTTGACCACGCCCCCTCAATTTTTGGTTTTGCATTATCTTCCACTAACAAAAACGCCGTGTAGTGATAAAATAGTCAAGCTTGGTATTACAATTATCAAACTAAATGCTTCTATTTTCTCTTTTTGAACTTACTTAGGAAATTAGCATGATTTAAGGTACTTTCTACATTTTAAAATCTACTAAATTTTGTTTTAGGTAGCCGGCTTGTACGTCAACGGCTGCTATCGAGTTCAGCTCGAAAAACGTCAAGTGGTCACTGATTGTGTTTGTTCAAAGGTAATCTAAAAAAGGAAATCTATAGTCCATTCCTCGCGACTTGACAGTGTCTGCGTCTCTCTGTTCCCTCACCGGTGGGTCAGAGAAAAAGGAAATTAGCGCCTCAACATGGAAGGGTAGCCGAGAGACGAGGAGGGCGCAGAGAAAAAGAGCCTTTTCGGAAAATGGATTATACCAAAAGAAAATCTCTTTTTTGAACTTAAATCCGTTTTTTAATGATCTTATGACTGCACGTGGAATGGCTCGATGCTGCAAAAGGATTGCTGTAAGGTGCACCCGACCTGAAACGGCTTTAGCTTTGATATCGCCAAGCAGTAGATAAAGTTGCTGATTTTCCAACGCTTCGAGCCATTCCACGTGCGACCAGCTATTTATTTTATAGAAACCTATAGATTAATGATAAATTTCAGAACAACTGCAACTCCGTCATCCCCGTAATAGTATCTGGAACAGTTCGATGTTACATGGGCCAAAATTTCCAGAATATTTCTCAGGTTTCTTCTAAAATTTATTTCAAAAAAGGGTATTTTCAAACTTTTAGGTTTACACGGACGAGTTTTGCGACGGCGATTACTGTCTGATTCAAAATGACAATGGAAAAATATCGAAAGGATGCATTTCGGTGAACGAAAGGAACAGTTATAGCCATATCCGGGTAGGAAATTCGCTCAAAAAAAGCTTTATGGATTTTTGAAATGAGGTATACTTCAACAGCTCGAGATAAAAATATCGTGGTCGCATTTGGAATGGCTTAAAGCGTTGTGGTTGGAAACCCGTCCAAATTTGACGTGAAAATCATGCCCTCACTCTTCAAAATGTCTCAGCGCGCAAGTAGTTTCAAGTCGGGCGCATTTTCAAGCAACCGCTTTGCATCAAACCATTCCAATCGCGACAATGATCTTTGAAATGAAAAATAATTGATTAAAGGAGCGGCTTTTATCATTTATCATTTTTGAAGATTACGGTAGTCAAAAAAGTTCCTTCCATCCTTCCAAAGCAATTTTTCATTCCAGAGCGGCCACCGACGTATATTAGGAACCGATCAATGGCTCTGCCAAGCCCATCTTTGTAACTACGACCCCAAAAGGTGATCTCTCTCAAAAAAAAGTAAAATATATTTTACAGAGCCCAAAGCTCAACATCCCTCCGTGTGGTTAGAACCAATTCCAGCGCCATTTTTCTTTCAATTTTCTCGAATTTCCTCTTTTTAAATGTCCTTCTTTTCAAATAAATCATGTAAACTTTATTGTTACAAGATCCGCAGCCGGGGCTCCCGTTTCCGTTTCTTGGCACGAATTATCGGCGGGTTACTGTAGCCGGAGCCACCGCCGCCGCCACAGGACTGGAACATTCCGCGGACACGGAAGGCGAACGCCTGGAAACTCTTTTTGAATCAATCAATAATGGCTGATTTTGGCTATTTCGAAAATATCTCTGGGTCTCCGGATTTTGCGTTGTCTTTTTCACCCTCTGACGCTAATTTTTAATCCACCGAAACTGATTTAAACTAGTTCATAAGTAGGTACTGGAAGCACTATATATTTCAGAAAGACAAAATTTAAAATAACAGCACTTATACAAATAAATCATCTAAAAATGGATAAAGAAAAAATTGAAACCGAAAAAACAGGTATGACGAAGGCTTGTACGCCCCATTGATAATATAATTTCAAAAAAATGCTCCTTTAGTACTATGTAACACGAAAACTACGCAAAAAATAGGAAAATTGAAGAAAAGGCGCATTTTTATCAGTGGAGCAAACTAATCGCTACTTTTTGGGCCTTTATTCCCAAATGGTCAATATATTCCATTCTTGGAATTTCTCAACTGTCTGACTTCTCTGTGATCTTATTTCTATCGGCAATGCGGTTTGAAAAAAAAAACCAACCGCCTGAACGTGCAAATCGTAGGAAATGAGGGTGACGGACGGCCAGAGAGCCACGGCGAAGACGTTGACGAAAGACTGGAGCCAAGGGTCGAAGATTCTCGGAAGACAGATGAGGAAGGAGTAGATGACGTCGCTGACGAGGAAGGCGAGTGTCGTCGCCAGTTCGGAACACGTCGAAGACTCCTTGTCGTCGCCGTCGTCAGGATCGAAAAGGGTTCTGGAAACCAATATTTTTTTCTAATAAAAATTGATTTTTTTATTCAAACAGTATGCTTCAGGATCAAAAAGGGGATCAGAAAAAGCAATATTTTTCCTGATGAAGCTGGATTTTTTTCAAAATTATGCATTAAACAGTCAAAAAAATAGAAGATTTTTTTCTCTTTGATGAGTTCAAAAACGATATGAACAGATGGTCGCATGTGGAATGGCTATGTGTCAGAAAATTGCTTTTTTAAGGTTCGCCCGACCCAAAACGGTTTGCGCGCTGAGCCATCGCAAAGCATTGAAACAAGCTTCACAGTCCCAAATCGACTTAGAACCGCAACGCGACCGCGACGCTTTGAGCCATTCGCAATGCGTCCACTGAGTTTCAATGTAGGTTAATGGAAAATATTTGGAAGTAAGAACACAAAAACTACATTTTTTTTGAGGCTTTTCAGCAGTTTTTTTTCGGATTGTCCCCTTCATTTTTTTTTCCCAAACTTCTACTTTTCAACCTCAAAATCAATTCACCTGTAAATGAGATCAGAAAAAGCAAGAATGTAGAACATGAGAGCGAATAGAGCCACAACGGCGACGAACGTGATAACTGATATGATTTCAATTTCGGACCTCGAAAATCCGAGCGTTTCTAATGAGAATCTATGAATCCTGAATGAAAATCATTTTATGAGAAGTAGAATTTCGACAAACGTGGTTTCGATTGAAAGGCTGGCGGCGTGATAAATTGGGTAGGATATGGAAATCGCCAACATTAAATAGACCACCCAGTCGTGGAAGAGCTTTTCACTGAAAATTGAATTCAAAAATGAGTAGAGGCTGGAAATTCATACCATATATTTTCAGATAGGACGCTTAGGTTCCGATATACAGTTGAGAAGAACTGAAAACCTTTTTTTAAGATGAAAAATAGCTTAAGTCTGAAGAGAATAGGAGAAAAAAGGAGGTATATGGCGCGCTTCAAGCCCTACAATGCCTCTGTTCTCATAGCGCAGCTGGTAAGACGCCCGATTCTTCCTCAACGGGTCGCGAGTTCGACTCCTTTCCGCGTTTTTCATTTTTGCAAAAAATGCTTTCGTCTTTCAACCTCTTTTTGTATTATTTTTACCCTGAGAAAATTATCCCACCTGTACAAGCAACGATGCAAGTTGCATTGTCAGCAGTATTGAGCCAGGAAAATTGATGATTATTTCATTAAGGAAGTAAGGTTTATTGGTGGCTGAAAATTAATTCTTCGGCTGAAAAATAATTAAAAAGCTCACCAATCATATAAGGAACTGGAATGAAAACAGCCGTCAATTGAACAATCGAAATAAATAATTGGCAAGAAGCCAATAAAGCCAGAGGACGGGATAGAAATTCGCCGATTTCTGGGATTATTGAGACGATCATCAGGTTCATCGAAATCCCGCAAAGGCCTGGAATATATTTTCATCAAAATAACGGCATTTCCCCTGAGAGATATGCGATTTGAAGTATAAAAAGGAAAAATCCTAATCTTTTGAGAAAAACTTGGTTCCACGAAGGATCGGTGTACAAAAATGCTTACCGTAATCTTCTTACTTTTTAACCGCGAAAAAAAAAACAATAAAATGGATATTTTCTTTCTTAGGAGCCTCTTGGCCTTGTGCCTTTAAAAAAAAACTATAATTCGTTCGCCAGGATATGAGATTTTTCTGACCCGTCTGGACCCTCTTTTCTCTCACTGGCTAGGTCATACGAACATAAAAATACTGAGCAAACACGAGAGAGTGGCGAAAAAACAGAGATCGCAGAGAAATTAGACTTTTTCGAGTTTTAGTGATAAGAGTAGACACAATTTCGAATTTAAATGATTGAATTTTCGAAATTTCAGACGTTCAGTACCCATCGTCAAGTAAGAAGTTCCGATGGCATTTTTCCAAAACGTGTCCTCCATCCAAAGCGCATCTTCAAAGTACATATATTCGAGGCCAACTTCTGAAATGAAGGTTTTTAGCTTAAAATTATGATCAAAAATTGAAGAAAATGACGAAAAAAATTTCGAGGAGCATTTTTGAAATCCCCGTAAGCTTCAAAGAGCAAAAATCCGTCTATGAAGCATATAAAAAGTGAGAAAAAGTGCATTCTTGAGAATTACACAGAAACCAGGCAAGAAGGGGACAACAAAAAGAAGGAGCAAATGATAAACAGAGATGAACATGATTATCTCCCGCAATCAGTTGGGTGGACCGGCGAGAGAGCGTGCGGAGTCGAGAGGGCGCAGAGAAAGGGAGGGTGATTGATGGTCGGAGGCAAATCCGCTGTAACGATCCCCTAGATTTCACCTTTCAATCTTGTTTTTCGTCTGATAAATTAGTTTATTCTAGAAAATAGTTGGAAATGATTGTTTGTATATGATTAGAAGGCGCGAAATCATAAAAGAATCAAAATAGAAATACTTATCAGGGAATGGTCTCAGCTCACAGTGGGACTTCTGAATGAGACCATGTTTCCTAGAGTAAGTTTTCATGCTGATTCCAAATCCGTTATTAAAAACTGGCAGAAAGGCCTGTGAAAAAAGTTATGGACCCTCAAATGTCGATCATCGGTTAGGAACCCCAGAGTGTACACTTTAGGGGTGAGGAGAACACACAGCTCTTATAGGAGCAACAAAAGTGGTCCATATAGGGGTTTAGAGTCCGACCCCAAAGGCCTAACGCTGAAGTGGTCCCTATAGGGGAAGTAAATTAAAGGGAACCTTCAAGGGCTCCTAAGGTCCACTCTGGAAGATGAAAAAAACTATTTTTTTAAAAAAATTCCGAAAAAAACCTTCAAACTCGTTTTTTTGTGTACATTTCAAGATCATTCTGAGAGTCATTCAATAAAAAAATCATATCTAAAAAAATGATCAGAATGTGCAAAATCACAAAAAAAGTGAAAAAAATTATAAATCGATAAAAAAACTCAAAAAGTTTGTCAAAAAAATGATTTAAGCAAGTTAAATGACTTCAAATTTTCTCGGTTTTTTTATAACTTAATTTTTCAAATCTTATTCATCATTGTCTCTTCTTTACGTTCCAATAATATATAATTTTAGGGAAAGAAAATGGAAAAATGATTTTAAAAAAAGACAAATTTTCTGAGAAAAAAATTTGGCTGCTTTCCTGTTTCAATAGAGAATGAAATTTTTTTAAATAATATGAGTTCTTATTATTCGTTTCACTAAAGTCTCAAGGAGAATTTTGTAAAGTTCACATTTTTTTCGTCTTTTTGGGAGTAAAAAAATATATTTTGGCCAAAATGCTGGGTTTTCTTTAGATAAAATGAATAAAAAAACGGAAATTTGTATATTAAGATTCAAAAAAATATTTATTAAAAAGGTAGTAAAATGAACTATCTTTGTAAAAAATAGCTGTTGAAGGTTCAAAAAAATCAATATTAAGTTAAAAAAATTGATTTTTTTATGAGTGCAGAAACTTCCAAAAAAACACCTATAAAAAAATATTTTTTTCAAAGAAGTATCATAGAAAAAAATTAAAAAAATTAAAAAAATTATATCTTTTTGTATAACAGTAATGAAAAAAATGTGAAATTCATGATTTTTTTCTTTTTTTCAATTTTCAAATTTCTAGCAAGAAAAAAATAACGTAATCCCTGTCCACCATATTTATTTTACAACAGCTGCTGGTTTTATTAGCCTCACCAGCACATTCCTGTTTCACCTAAATGTCTTGTTGTTCCAGTTTTTTTTGAGCTAGAAAAGCTGTCGGACAAGAAGGAAGTGTAAAAAGGGACAAGTTCGCAGGAGAAATTTGAAAGGAAACATTGGTTTTTTCTTTTTGAAAGTTTTGGATGACTTTAACGCTTCACAAAAACTTGAAGAACTTCATGTTTTATTTTCTTTTTGCTACTGTGCTGAGAAAAAAAAGTGGAAACATAAAAATGTTCAAATGATCTAACAGTACAAAAATTACATTTCCCTGAAAAAGTCAACTCGTGGTCGCACGGGGAATGGCTCAAACAGCAGCGATTGCTAAAAATGGGCGTCCGACTTCAAAACGACTTGCGCGCAGTGGTAAAAAATAACTTAGTGTGTTTTTCCTAGTGTCAGTTCTAAGTTTCAACTAAAAAAAGGCAGCGCCTTTTGAAAGAAGCAAGCAAGAAAAAAAAAATAGAAGCAGCGCCTTTTTAGCCATTCCAAATGCGACCGGAAAATCAAGCAACGGAAAATGGATAGAAATTCAGTTTTTTAAACTGAGTTTTCATTAGAATTATATTTTTTTCCTCAGATTCTCCAAGATTTTTCAAAAATTTCTCAGTTTCAAATATTTTTTTCTGTCATTAATATCATTTTTGGCCTGAAGTTCTACTTCAAAAAAATACGATTTGAAAACTATTTCAATACGAAAAAAATCGTAAAAAAATAAGCTCAGAAATATTTGAAAACTTCAAAAAAAAAGTAGGAGCTGAAAGATGAAAATCGCGGCAAATGCAACCGACCGACACACGTGCAACCAATTTTCGCCCCGGCCATTTTTTTCTTTTTTTGCGCTCTTGTTTGCGAGAACATAAAGTTTGAGCCTATTTTTGTAACATGTGTTAAGGTTTTGAAAGAGATAAAAAAATGTTATGAAAGGAGAAATTTATTCGAAAAAAACTGGACAAAAAGAACCAAAAAGAAAAATTTAAAAAAATTTTTTTTTCTGAAATTCTGCCGGAATGATATTTTTTTACATCACCACAAAAAAACTTTCCTGAGTGTCCCATTTTACAGAATATTTGAATTTGTTGAGAAAAAAATGGCTCAAAAAAAAAAAACAGGAAAAATCTGTTATTTTTGAGACATTGAGCCATGGTTTTTTTCGAAAATTCGTGCAGTTTGACATTTCAAATCAGTTTGTTCATAGTTCAAAGGGTTTTTTGACTGATTTTCAGCTAATTTAAACATTTTTCAAGGTTTAAGGGAGCTAGGAGCTAAAAATTTTCCTTAAAATCGAAAACTGAATTTAGGCTAATTGACTCAAATTTTCAGTCTTCCGAAATAATTTTTCCTTTTTTTTGAACTAAAATCCAATAATTTTTTTCCCTTTTTATCATTTTTCAATTTTAACCTTAAAGCTGTTTCATTGCGAAACTTGAAAACCTTCGAAAAAAAAAATCGAAAAATCCCATGACTCCTCCGTTTCAAAGTCGATACTTATACCTCTTATTCATTTTCTCCTGATGTGTTTCTTGCAAACTTATACAAGGAATATAATTTTTCTCATTTTTATTCAAAAACTGAATGAAAGACTACTGAAAAATGGGTGAATGACGTCATGGGGCAGGGGGACAAAAATGCGAAAAAATATGATTTTTCTTTATTGTTCAAGCATTTCCAAGTCTTCCAGTGATAAATCCGGCAAAGTCGAGGCCAACAACGGATCGTGGCGCTTCATGTGCAGCTGGAAAAGCTTGGAAATACGAAAAAATACCGAAATTTTATGAAATAATGGATGAAAACAATGTCATTCTACCGTTGAAAAAATTAATTCCCCTGAAGTTCGGTCAATCAGCCCTTTTTTAACGAATTATTAAAAGATTCCCTAAAGTTTGAAGCGCCAGAGAGGCCCCTATAGGGATTGGATCTGACTCCAAAGCCCCTGAAGTTTAAGTGGTCACTATAGGGGTCTTTCAAATCTTTTTTGTTCGCTTTTGAAATCAAAAAAACGATTAAAACCATTTTTTTCATATCTCTGTTGATATTTGTCATTAGATAATTTCTCAAGTCCCAGATTTCGAATCACTAATAAAAGTTTAAAAGTTTAAAAAAAGTTGTTCGAAACGGGAAACCGACATATGAGAAATTCTCTCCACAAAAAAAGTATTTTACTGAAAAATCATTAGAAAAAGGCTCAGGACCGCATTTGGAATGGCTCGAAGCGTCCCGGTTGCTTTAATAACCCGACTTGAAACGACTTTGGCTCGGGGGCATTGAAAAACACTTTAGGCAACCAATACGGCCGTTGAAATGCAGCCGCAACGCGACCGCCACGCTTCGAGCCATTCCAAATGCGACCATTTTCTTTTCCAGTTTACCGAATGAAGTCTTTTCGTTGTGAAAAAAGCATCTATTAGATATAAACCGCTGATTTTTGAGCAAATTTTCTAGTTTTCCTTGAAAAAAAAAAATCAATATGAAAAACTGCTCCTCTATAGTAACTCCTAAGGTTATTAAAAATAAAGTAATCATTTTTTTTTAGTTAAATCTGAAATTTCACCTGCAAATGATCGCTCCTCGCAAAAGACCGTGTACACTCGAGACATCTGAAAAATAGTTCTGATTACTTTTTCAATAAATAATTTTGTAAAAATTTTTTTTTCCAAAAATAATTTATTCTGAGGCAGTAAAAAAATGAAAAGGGACAATAATTAATCAAAAAAAGGACCTGAAAGGCTTGGCGCCGGTGTGTTTCCGGTAATGTCTCGTGAGTTCGTCGGATCTCGCGAAAGTCCATCGACAGTTCGGCCATTGGCATAAGTAAGGCTTTTCCCCTGAAAAAAATGGCCTTTTTTTGGTTTTTTTATAATGATAATGGGTACATTGGCTGCAGCCTTATATAAAAAAATTGAATTTTTTTAAGAATTTGAAAAGGAAAAAAATCAGGTTTTTTTGTAAATTTTTAGACGTTTCTAAAGATCCTCAGAGGTCTTGAAGAAGATCAATAACTTTTCTGATTTCAAAATTTTGATTTCCTAGTTCCGCAATTGATAAAAAAATATCAGACTTGCATTTAAAAATAACCAAGAAAAGTTTATATTCGGACATTGCCAACGGGAACGTTTAGTGACCACTTCAGTATCTTCAGAGCCCTTAAGTGATCCTTGAATCGCCCAGAAACGTCCGAAGCGATGTAAGAACCCTTAAGTTATCCCTAGAATCGCCCAGAAACGTCTGAAGCGATGTAAGAACCCTTAAGTTATCCCTAGAATCGCCCAGAAACGTCTGAAGCGATGTAAGAACCCTTAAGTTATCCCTAGAATCGCCCAGAAACGTCTGAAGCGATGTAAGAACCCTTAAGTTATCCCTAGAATCGCCCAGAAACGTCTGAAGCGATGTAAGAACCCTTAAGTTATCCCTTGAATCGCCCAGAAACGTCTGAAGCGATGTAAGAACCCTTAAGTTATCCCTTGAATCGCCCAGAAACGTCCGGAGCACATCCGAAGTGTTTTTGAGAAAATGAAGCGGAATTTCGAACTTTCTCACTATAGCGACCCTTTGTTGGGAAAAAAAAATTAATTTGAAAAATTCCGGTTCATAACCGAAACAGGCTTCTAATCTAATAAACCCCCAAAATTTTCCCAAAAGAAGAAGCGGCGGAAGTGTGGCCGATCCAATGCAAATATATCATAGCCAAGGCATTTTTCGGCCTCCCTGGCTTTTCTAATCTGTTGAGCCAACAAAAAACCGAAAATATTTACTAATTCACTATCACCTGTAATTATCGGACAAATTGGGTACCTGGCGGCGAACGGAAAAAGGAGGAATTTTTATTGAGGACGAGAATTTTATGGACCTGCGGTGGGTCTCTTATTAAGCACTAAAACACCAAGGACACCCTTTTTAGGGTTTCATTTTACCGCAATCGGGTTGATGAACTTTTGAGAGGTACCGTAGGAACATTGATTCTTTTTTAAATTTGTAAAAATTGTCATTTTTCAAACTGCTATAGCAAAAAAAGGCTTTAAACCTCAGAAAATGAAAGATTTCCTTCTGAAATCTCAATTTTTAACACTTTTATTGCACCTGGAAAAGTCCAAAAATCAAAAAAGTTCTTCAAAAAATCTTCCAAGCGCAAGCCGTTTTTGGTCGGTTGCATATTTGAAAAAAAAAATCCATCCATTCTCCGTGCGGTCATGAATTTTCAATTTAGGCGAAATTCATCAGAAAATCATCAAAAATGGACATCAGACAAACGAAACTGTTTTATCTATTTTTTTTCAAATTTGAATTTTGTGAGATACAGGAAAGTCATGGAAATCGAAAAAAAAAAAATCATTTTTCAGCCTGAAAAGCAAATACAAAAAACCCTTATAGGGGATACTTGTGTGCCCCCTATAGGAGCTCTTGTACTCCTAGCCCCTATAGGGACCACTCTAGGATTATTAAGTATGCATATATATCAACCACGCACAAGAACGAGTTCTCATTTCAAAAAAAAAAATCAAAAATTTTTTCAAGCCGCCCCGACATGTCTTGGCGCGAAAACGACGTGCTCAACGAGGGGATTACTGTATCAAGTGTGTTGACCATAAAAGGCGAGTACGAGCCACCGAAAAGTGCGGAAATATTTGCTCTGATCGGCTCGCCAAAAAGCGGGCCCATATCGGGTTACAGCCGAATCAGAGGCTAGAAAAAGGGGCAAAAAACGCGTCGACAAGTACAAGATTGATTGTTGCCAATGAGTTTGCCCAGGTACTTGAGGGGAAAAAAGAGGCCGAAAAGATTTACCTGTGTGGACCCGCAGGTGCGCCTTCAGGTGCGAGCTTTTCGTGTAGACTTTGTCGCAGCCTTCAAATGAAAATTGTTGGTTTTTGTGGAAAATGCTTGTAAATCTAGAGGAGACAAAACTGCAAAAGTTTTTTTCTGTTTCCTCGGACATCCTGGAAAAGTTTTTAGTAGCCACTATAGGGTTTTGACGTTTTAGTGGCCACTATAGTAGTCAAATTAGTGACCACTCAAGGGGTTAAATAGTTAGGGGCCACTGTAGAGGTCTAAGTGCTACTGCCAGACCACTAAGAATTTTAGTGGCCACTTTAGGGGTCAATGGATCAACATAACTGATCCAATCGGTTTTTTTTAAAATTATCAGAGTTACTGGAAGGAATACGGGATGAAACACTACTATAGTGGCCACTCAAAATTTTCCTAGTTGGTAACACAAAAAGGAAGTGCTCCGGACGTTTCTGAGCCTTTCTAGGGATCACTTCAGTTGCGTAAGAGTAAGAATCCTTTTCCTTACTTTCACCCTGTCTTTTCGTAACTTATCCGAAACTATTAAGAAGTCGAAAAGACGAAGAATTAGGAGAAGCGTTTTTTTCAAACTATCTTCCATTTTAAAAGTTAAGAGAAACGGCAAACTTGGGTATGGGAATTCAGCTAAAAAAAAAAAGGCATGTTCAAAATAGTCGTCAGAGCTTGAAAAAGATAACTAAACTTTTAAGAATCAGAAACATTTTTCATTTCGCGGAAATTACTTCAAAAAAACGTTGAAAAAAACTGAAAAAAACTTTCAAAAAAATGGAAGAAGTTACCGTAACTGGACTTGTCTCTGGAGCGCATCTGTGCTTTTCAGTCTCAATATTTTTTCCATCTTTTATTTTAATTTTTTTCTTTTTTCCTTGTATAGCTTCTGTTCTCTGTTCTTTCTTTTCTTGTTTTTTGTGCTGAAAAATTTCGAGAAATTTTGATGGTTTAGGATTTTTACAGTTATAAACGTTTCGGACTATAAAAACCTAATAAATGCCTGGAAAAAAATGAGAATTTTACAAAAAACCAAGATTTTTCATTTCTAAATTTTTTTATGCTCGTAATGTTATTTAAGTTAAAGACCTATCCTTATATGTAGTTAATTTTTGAAAAACTTAGGGAAAAAAACCTGGTAATGAGACAGTTATTAATTTCTCGCATAATTAAAAAAATTTTGACGGTTTTGAATTTTTTTTTTTTGGAATAGTCTGTTAAGATTTTGAATGTCGAGTCAACGCTCAAGCTCCGCCCCTAATGGCTCAATAAACCAATCAGAAAGCGAGCCATCCACGGAGCGTTTTTGAATGACGTCATTCTACTTGAAATTCATGCTGTATTCAAGTGATTTTTGAGAAATGCAAAATTATCTCTGACTCTCCAAAATTTAGTTGTATTTCTCTATCTCTGACGGGTATTTTGGATTTCACGGAAACGCTTTGAACAGGATATACTAAAATGAGCGCTTTTTCCTGTCCCAGCTTCATTATTCATTCAAAATGTCAATTTACAGATCTTATTTTTGCAACGAACCTTGATGCATGCAGCGATGAACTCTCCGCCGGTCCAAAGTCTCGCGGTCGCGTCTCTTGCACTGGAACGGGCGCGGTTTAACGGCCGACGGCGGGAAATAGACCTTTGGAATGGCTTGATGGCGACCTTTTTAGGGTGCTACCTTATTCTCGATGTGTGGCGGGAGTCGATGGACGAACTCGATTTCCTCTTCGGAAAATTCCGATTTCGAAGAGGACGTCGAGGTGGACATCGGGGAGGACATGTACATTCCGGAGAAGACCTTCAATCATTTTTTTTTCTTTTTTCTCTGCGCTCTCTTCGTCTCTCGGTGTCTCTTGACGTGCTATTTTCTCTCTGACCTCGCGGGCGAGGGAACAGAGAGACACAGAGACACGAAAACTGTCAAGTCGCGGTGAACGGACTATAGGGATGTAATTTCAATCTTTTTTTGAAATTTCAGATTTTTTTCTGGGTTTCGAATCGCTTTCCAGTTTAAAAAAAGTTTTTTTATGAAAATTTTTTTTCTTTCAGTAAATTATGAAGCCTTCAAGCTCGCCTGTGTCAATTTAATGAAGGAAATGAGAACTTTCGACGATTCACAAGCTCCGAAAAATCGAAAAATCTGATAATTTTTTTCAAAGAATCCGGAGAATATTTTCGCAAAAATTAAGTCAATTTTTCAGCCGGCAACAGACATAATTTTTTCGTGAGTTCAAAAATTCATCAAAATGATTAAAAAAAGCTCAACTGGCGGCTCCCCTTCTCTTGTAAAAAAATAGAATAAAACTGAAAAAAATCTCAAAAAAACATTTTTCCGGATTTTTTTGATATCTGCAAATCTCGCCTCACTCAACATAACACTGGAAACGGTTCCCTTTAAAAAAATGTCGGAAAAAGATAAAATCAGAAAAAAACGCCTGCAATTTTCCATAAATTTCAGTAGACTTTCATTGCTCTCAAAGATGCAAGCTAGTTTTTCAGTTTTTTCCAAGTTAAACGTCTTTTTTTCCGTTGCTGGAAGGTGCTATCCAACTTGAGTTTTTCTTCGAAAAATCGAGTTTCTTAACGTTTTCCTGTTTCTCAAACTTTTTTTCTAAACAAAGCTTGAAAAAAATCTAATCTATTTTTATTACGTTTTTCGGTCCTCAAAACTGTTGGCTCCTTTTTTTCTGGAAAAAAACTGAAAAATTTCCCCTGAATTTTTTTGTTAATAACACTTAATATTCTTATCGAAGATTAATTTTTTTCTAGCTCACATCGTTATTATCGATCCCGTTGTAGTGACAATTGCTATAATCTTCGCTTGGAATGATGTTTGCCGAATTGTAGACATAAGGCTCTGGTTCTGAAAAAATGAATTTTTCAGTCAAAAAAATATTTTTTCGAACCGAAATTGACCCTCGGATGATGAGTTAGATCATAGTAGGGCAGGTGCTCGTGGACCTGCAAAATTAATCAATAAAATAATGAAATTATTCGAATTTTAAATTTGAAGTGATTATTTAAAAATATTTCTGTTTGAATGGTCGCACTTGGAATGGCTCAACGCCTGTAACAGCTCGTTTATGGCGCCGTGCGTAAGTAGCTTTGAGTCGGGTGCCAGTTATTTTTGAGTCCAAATGGTCGTACTTGGAATGGTTCAAAGTCTTACGGTCGGAACAAAGTCTATAGCCAAACCTTCAAAGTTCGATTTATCACTTTCTTATGACGCCGCGCGCAAGTAGCTTTCAGTCGGGTGCAAATGATTTTAGAGTCCCAATGGTCGCACTTGAAATGGCTCAAGGTGTTACAGTTGGCATAAAAACAACTACTACAATAATTTCTCATACGCGACGCGCAAGTAGTTTTTGGTCGGTTACAAATTATTTACACACTTTTTAAGCTCAAATGGTCGCTTTTTTAAAGCTTAACTGGTCGCACTTGGAATGGTTGGCATAAAAAAAACTACCACAATAATAAAAAGACCTACTTATTTTCAACACCTTTAGAAAGGCCTTCATGATGAAAATTTATGAAAAAAATATTCTAAAGAAATTTTTTGAGGTACTTCTAGGTGAACAAATTGCGGGAAATTTTTGAATTTATCTTTTCGCGCCAATATTTTCAAATGAAGCTTGTTGAACCTTTCAATAGTTCTGGAAATCTAGTGGGACCATTCCTACCAAACTCACCTCATTCTTGGGCTGGAATCCATGATGGAGCTCCATGGGCTGGTGTTGCTGAACGCCTTCCGGGAAATGGGAGAGCTCTCGACTGCACGACGCCGTCGACAAGTACATGGCTGACGGCCTGAAACACGTCGGTTTACGACCTTCCCCGACGACGTGCAAACGCAAACACGAAATCTTCTTTCTTCCTAATAACGCGCCCAGTTCGACGTCACAAAAGCTTATTGTTGCCATGTTGGGGCCTCCGTCGCAACTTCTTCCCTTCCGACGTTCTTTTTTATTGGTTTCGAGACAAAAAAGAACGTCAGAAGGTGGTGAGTGAACCTGTCACGTGGCTCGTGACAACCGTTGAGGGCAAATAATATGGGTTTTTGGCAGGGGAAGGTCATGTTTAGGGGTACAGCAGTTGGATTGGATATTGAACACCTTTTTTCGAGAAAAAGTACTTAGGAATGCTAAAGTGGTCCCTAAAGGGCTCAGAGAACAGAGACCACTACAGGGGACATACTGCTCCCTAAGGTGGTCCCTATAGGATTCATTTTCCGAGCCCTTCAAGCTTGAGTGGTCCCTATAGGGTTCATTTTCCGAGCCAAAAACCCCTTAAGCGTGAGTGGTCCCTATAGGGTTCATTTTCAGAGCCCTTCAAGCTTGAGTGGTCCCTATAGGGTTTATTTTCAAAGCCGAAAGCCCCTTAAGCTTGAGTGGTCCCTATAGGGTTTATTTTCCAAGCCGAAAGCCCCTTAAGCTTGAGTGGTCCCTATAGGGTTTATTTTCCAAGCCGAAAGTCCCTTAAGCTTGAGTGGCCCCTATGGCGGTCTATAATTTTTATGATATTTTACAAAATCTCATCAATTAATCTTCTGTTGTTCATTTATCGATTTTATCTCATGGAAATACTTATTCTCATACAATGAAAAATACTAATAAACCCTAGAATGGCCACTTTTGCAAGCTGAAGTGTCCCCTATAGGGCCAGGTAGAGAAGAACCTTCAAGGGCCTGTAATTTTGCTCAACAAACGGTTTGAAATTCGGCCCGAATCAGATAAAATCGAATTTTCAGTCATTTTTTCGATAATTCCTCTAAATTTGGTCTTTAAACTATGTTTACGAACGAGAAATGAAATCAATTTTTTTAAATATATACTCACAAAGAAACAGAGATCTTGTCAGACGCATAATATCGCGATGCATTTTTTTGCCTCACACTTTATTTTTAATGTTCGTTCAATAATTGAACAAAAAAATAAATTTCAACATTTAAAACAATTCAAAAAAATCAAACTGATCCGTAGAGAACATCGAAAAAAACCTGCAGATAGGAAAAATTGAAGATTGAAAAAAATTTTTAAAAAAATTTTAAAAAAATCGAAATATAAGCACTTTTTCTGAAAAATCAAAGCGAGGACACGGAAATGAAGCTAAAAAAATTATTGAAAAAAATTATTTTTTTGAAAAATAAAAAAATGTTGGAAAAAAATATTTATAATAGCTTGACCTCAAGAATCAACTGACAAGGAAGGTCATTTCACTTTTTTTCGGTTGGGAATGTCCTAAAAAAATTGGCTGGTACACTCCTTGATGTACCAGAAACAATTCCTCAAAGCCTCAACCTTTGAAATTTCCTAGCTTCCGAGAAAGAAAGCCTAAAAGTCCTCAAAATCCGTTGAAAAGGGCCATTTCGAGCCCTTATTTCTTGAAAACTAGGAAGTTTTCTAGCTTGAAACTTTCAGAATCGTTTTCTAGTACATCCAGGACTGTTCTAGCCAATTTTCAAAAAATCCCAAAGCAAAACGAACTTCCCAGCAACAGAAACTCGCATCCGACAGCTGATTTTCCAGTGTCCGAGAGGGCTGTGTATGCAGAACGGACCATGATATGAGTGATTGTCGTTTTGAAATGTTTGTCACGGGGATTACGGAGTATTTCTGGCGCCTTTTTCGGACATTCTCCCGCCTTTCGGAGCAGATCAGTTGATTCAAGTGCGAGGAAAAAAAATGGGTCCTGGTTTTCGGGTTGACTCACGCTTTTTGACCATTCTGTCGGGAAAAGCTCTAAATAATTGAATATTTTGGTTTTTAAACTTAAAAATATAAGATTTTTGCATGATAATTGAGTAAATCCGTGTTTTAATAATTCATTAAAATAGGGAACTTTGAAAAAAACTACTTTCTATTAGAATAACTTTTCACGCTGATTTCAGAACTCGGTTAAAAAACCAACAATGAGGTCTTTGAAAGAAGTTAAAGCCTCTCAAAGTTCAAAAAAATGAAAAAATTTTACAAAAACATTTTTTTTAACGCCTTGCGAAAGAGGCACGATTTTTTGAAATCTCTTGTCGGAAAATGCAAAATTATCTCTGACTCTCCAAAAATTTAGTTATATTTTTTTCAAAAATCAGCCTCTATTTTATATTCCTCGAAATTACTTTGAATCACGTAAAAGGCAGTTGAACAAATTTGAAAAATAGTTTGAAAAATAAGAAGTTACGGCGAAACAGGAATCTCACTTGAAATGAAAAAAATAATATTAAGCAAAAATAATTTCGAAAAAAACTTGAAAAACTAGCATTTATATTTATTTTAAAAAGGTTGAAAACCCCTTTTCCCACCCCGAAAATTTGTAAAAAAATTTGATTTTTTTCGCTTATTTTTTTAGATATCCGAACCTGGAACTACCCCTAATTTTTTTTAGAGAAATTTTTTTAGACATTAAAAAATTTTTTTTTGAAATTTGAAATTTTATAAAATACGCAGAACTTTAAAAAAATTCATTATGAGCCGGTAAAAAAATTATTTAAAAAGTTTTCTCCGGTAATGATTGAAGAATTAGATGGCATTTAGCTAAAACCGTGACAGGTCGGCTGCAAATTTGACACCCGGGTTCAGAAAAATATCCAAAAACGAGTTAAAACCGCTTTTTTTTTCGTTTTCTGAGTACCTCCAAGGTCAATTGCGTTCTTAAAAAAATAAAAAAACTTCAATAAATGATGAAAAAAAGTCAAAAATGTTCAAGATTGAACACAAAAAATGATAACCACCCAGTGAGGAAAGCGAAACATAAACTGTAAGAAGATGGGCGGCGCAGAACGGCGGATGAAAGACGCGCCGCCGAGAACTACCGTAATTTGCGCAGGGGTTATGGCCCGATATGGCCGGGGAGGCGGGGCCAAAATGACCTTATTCGACCCCTTCTATCAACGACGGTTTCCCGCAATCTCCTTGAGACAACATAAACGGATCGGGTGTCGAGAAGGGGCCACTTGAGAGATTTTTGTCATATTAAAGAGTTGTAAACTTCAAAATGACCACTTGAGGGTTTTTTTTTCGTAGGATTGTGGAGTCGTAAGCATCATAATGACCACTTGAGGGGTTTCTCTTCTGATTTCAAAGATTTAAGGTTAAAAATGACCACTTGAGGGTTTTTTTTTTGGGAATTCAAAGTTTTAAGCTTCAAATGACCACTTGAGGGTTTTTCGTCGGATTGTGAAGTTGTAAGCTAGAAAATGGGCTTTTTGAGGTTTTTTTTTAAATAATATATGTAAAGCTCAATTTTTTTCTATTGTATGATTAACTATGAAACTGTTTTTTTCTAAAAAAATTCCGAAAAATTTCAGGTTTTGACTGTAAAATAAACTGTAAAAAAAGAATAATGAAAAAAATTGAAAAAAATAATAAAAAAATGGAGTCAAAAAGAAATTAGATAATTTCAGATTTTCCATTTTCATTTCTTATAAAAAAACTTGAAGTGACTGTTTCATAAAAAAATGTTTGAAAAAAATCGATTATGTTTTATTTTATTCTTTCCTTGCCTGCATTTTAATTACGAAAAATTTTTATTGTGTAAAAAATTTAAACCTTTTTTTTTCTTTTTTTTTTCCTTCTTGGAATTATTTCTGGTCTGATTCTGAAATCCCACAGCAAACGGAGACCCATTCAGTTCAAAGTCCACCAATCGATCTTCATCAACCAATAAAAAGTGCATCTTTATAAACATAGAATCATTTTTTCGTGGACATGTGACCATAACGGATCATTTGACACTTCCCAACTTGTATCGATAAAAAAAAACGAGCGGTCACACACAATTCTTGTCCTTGAAATGAGCCTTTTTATCATCTTGACATTATTTACGAGTGTAGGTAGATGATGCAACATCCAGAAGTTGTATGAAATATTCAATCGAACTAGTTAATTTTGAAAAAAAAGACCCAAACTAAGCTTTTTCCAATTAAGATTGAGAAATAGTTAAATTTTTGTACTTGTGTGTGAGAAATAAAAACATTTTGATAAAAAATTTGGAAAAACCTCAACTTTGGGAATTAAAAAAACATCTGAATAGTTTTTCTCACAGGTATCCTAAGTTTTTGAATTATATTTTTTTCTCCAAGATTCCTGGAGCGTTCAATAAGAAAATTCCTTTTTTGTGAATCATTATTGGAAAAAAACAAGGAGGCCAGTCGTTTTTATTGCCTAATCAAGTGCAAATGAATCATCCAAAAAAACTACCAGAGTTCTTTAAGATTCTCTAAAAAAATCAGTAAATTTTAGTTTAAAGTTCATTAACTCATGAGAAAAAAATACAATTAGATTATTTTAAAAAGCGTCATTAGAATCAGAAAAATAAAGGGGAGAGAAATAAATAGACTTCCTGAGACGAAAAAATGCTTCACATCAACGTTTCGATATATTGTTACAGACCAATCCATTGAACACAAATTTATTATTCAACGCAAAAGAAAAACAAAAAAGAAAAAAAATCAAGAAAACTCGCAAAAAATAAATAAATGAAGCAAAAGTTTGGGAATGTGCGCTCTACTAAAATGAAGGGGCTCCTGAAGGGGCTTCAGAGAGTTTTTTAACATTTATTTTGTTTATTTTCATTTTCTTCTCTTTTTATATATTTTCATTTCTCTGTGTTCCTATGCAAGTCAATTCAATTTTTTTTATTCTCACAGAGAGTACTTTAAACAAGTGCGCTCTCCATTGAAGTTTTAAAGGAATGTTTTCGACTCGATTTACTTGAAAATATTCATTTTTATTTTCTTATTGAATGTGTCCTAAGGTTATCACCCTTTATTACTTTTCATTAAATAACAAAAAATCAACTAAACTGAAGTTTTTGTAGTTTTCGTACCCGACGCTCATTTCGAGCCTCCATGGAACTTGTGACGTATTTTGCATTCAATTTTGGCACTTTGGTGTTTACGGACGTGGCGATTCTGCTCACATGCACGACGGGGCGCAGATTCCTCACAAGTCGGAGGCAGCCCCCAAAAGTTGGGCTGATAAGCCTTCGCCAGGTGCCGTCGACCCGCCGACCATGCCTCGTACTCTCTTTCTTCTCTGTGTCCTCCTTGCTGTGAGTTTTTTGGGAAATTCATGCGATTTCTAGAAGTGATTTTAGAATTATTATGGGGATATGAACTCAATTGGAAAGACCTTGTAAACTTGAAATTGGGAAAAATTTCATAATCTTGAAAAAATGGAGGAATGTAAACAAAGGACTTTGAGTGCTAAAAAAAGTTTTTTTCTGTTTTAGAATGATTTTTTTAAAGTTCTAAAAAAATCGTTTTGAAGAACCATTTTCAATCAGTTTTTTTCAGCTTGGAGTATGAAAAAAACAGAAACTGAGATTTATTGTGAATAATTTAAACATTTTTTTGCGAATTTTTTTGATAAAAGACATTTTTTTAAATTTTTTTGGATTGGAAATCATATCATGGCTTCATATATTTCATTGTAAAATTTGAAAATTGCGATTTCAAAAAGTTAAATTTTGGAAATTTTTGAAATTTTTACGTCAAAAAAATTATACCACAAATCTTCAAAAAAATCAAATTTAGGCAAGGAAAAAAACGTACAGAAACCAGTTTTATTGAAATAAGAATAAAATAAAAATATTTATGGTCATTCTGGGAATGCACCCCTTTGGAAAAAAACTATTAAAAAAATTTTTGAGTTTTTTTCAAAAAAACTAAACTATTTTATATTTATTTATTTCAGCCGTTTTTTTCACTCCAAGAGGGTCTGTTCAAATTTCGATTAAAAATGACTTTTTTTTTCTCTAAAAATCGAAATAAACAAATGTTTCTGCTTCTCAATTTCTATCTAATTCGTCTGTATCACAAATAAAAAAATGGACTAAAATTTTTTTTAGATGAAATTCGTCTGACCGTTAAAATTAAGGTGAATCTGAAACCGAAAAAAAGATAAGAGGCTCTAAAGATCAAAAAGATGAAAAAAATAAACTTGGAAAGTTCGGTTTTGTCATACTTTAACTGGAAAAAAATTATTTTTTTTAAAAAAATCATGAATTCACTTTTGTAACAGTATAGTTGGTCTGAAAAAAATCGAAAAATAATTTTTTTGTTGATTCTCAATTTTTTTCAAGTTTCTGTGTATTTTTTTATTTCATATGGGTAAGAAATTCTTCTAGATGAAGCTTGTCTGAAAGCTTTATAGATTAATTTAAGACCTGACTATTTTTTTTCAATCGAATTTAGAGCGAAAAACCTCGAAAATTGAAAATAAATGAAAAAATAACCAAAAAAAAAAATTCTTTCGTACTTCAAAAAATATTTTGAAAATAGTCTGGAATCCCTTTCTATCACACTCTAGTTGAACTAGATCCCATAAGAAGCATGTCTTTTCGAATTCCAACTTCAAACTTCTTCACAAAAACGTCGGAAAACGTCAGTAATCATATCAGTCGGACTTGCCCCGGGCAGACCCGAGGCGCCGTCAGGGAAATTTCATAATTATCAGCCCCGATTTTTATCAAAATTCCTTTTTCAGGTGCTCGGAATCGTGCCAGCGCAGCATTCGGACGGGGAAAGGTTATCAATTTATCTGAGAATAAAAAGGCGTTTCGTGATTTCTCCCTGATAACACGGTAACTGTACTGATAAGGGTAGTCTGTCGCAAAATGAAACGATTTTTTTCTCGTTTCGTTGATTAGGGAAGTATGTTTGAGCTGATAAGGGAGTTTTATGGATGGTATGGTGATAAGGGAGCAGAGAGTACTGTAGGACTGGAGAGGGTTAGAGAAAAAGGCGGTTACAGTAACCGGGAGCCTTCAAATTGAGAAAAGAAAGTGAAATAAATCTGGGAAAGTTTTGAGGGGCCACTTTAGAGTTACTAGTCACTATAGTAGTCGATTTAGTAGTCACTTAAGTGGCTAAAAGTTAGTGGCTTCTCTATAAGTCTAAGGGGTACTACTAGACCACTAAAACTACTATAGTGGCCACTATGGAGGTCGTTTTAGTGGTCACTTTAGTGTCCTCTCAAAGTACTCATTGAGAAACCACTTAAGATTCCACTTGAATTTCTTTCATTTTTTAAAACGTTTGTTGAAGAAAGTGAGGGAAGCTTCACAAAACGGATAACCTTCTCTCAAAAATATTCTCTTGTTGAAGGATATCGCGAAGCGAAGTCGGATCGAGTCCGACGCACTTTTTTATAACTATAAAGCGATTTTCTATAAATAGCTTAAAAACTCTATCCAGTTTTTCGGAGCTTATCCTTGATATTCTACTAGGAAAATTTTTAGTGGCCACTATAGTAGTCGAATTAGTGGCATGCTAAAAAAAGTCGGTCAGTTTGGAAAAACTAGGCCATGCCGCAATTTTGCTCTATGGAAAACTTAGAATTTCAAACTTTTTTTCTTTTCTGAACTTTTTCTTCCTCTTATTAATTTTAATAAAAAGGTTTTCGCTTATTTTCATTCAATTGTATCGTTCTCGCGAGCAAAATACGATGGATACTACATTCAAAATTATGAACTGATTCAACTTTTGAAAATTCTCATTAATTTTTTTGAATCCACGATACTTCATCTAAACAAATGAGCGAAATCAAAAATCATAAGTGATCTGATAATGAGATATTGTGTAAAATACGCACAAAAAAGGCAAGAAACAAAGTTACCTCGGACAAAAGGTAAAACATTACCTAGGGAAACAATTGAAAATGAGGAACAGTTATTTTAAAGGGAGGAGTATGTGTCCCATATCCTAGAAAACCGATAAAAAGGAAGAAAAAATATAGAAAAAGGAAAAAAAGTTTGAAATTCGACTTTCCATAGAGCAAAATTGCGGCGTGGTCTGGTTTTCCAAACCGACCGAACCGACCGACTTTTCCAGCATGCCGAATTAGTGACCAGGGGTTGAAAGTTAGTGGCCACTATATAGGTCTCAGCGTTACTACTTACCAATTAAAATTTTAGGAGCCATTTCAGTGTTCTCTCCAAGTAGTCCTTGGCGAGCCTCTCTAGTGACTACTAAAAATTTTCTCAGTAACGGTTAAAAATCTGTGCTTTCTGAGGAATCCAAAAAAAAGATTTTATGATAATTTTTCATTGCAGAATACGTATTTTAGTTTGGATAGGTCCTCATGAAAAGCCCTTCACTGTGGCTGAATACTGTTTCAAATCCATTATCTCAGTCGGAAAGTGCTTTTACTCCAGTATTAAATCTAGGCTGTTTTCGTAAAAACTTCAAGAAAATACGCTCTGTAGACTTTTATTCAAAATTAGGTATATTTGGGCAGTTCTGAATAGGTTTTTTCCTCGAAAAAATGGTTAAATGTCATTTTTAATTTCATTAATCAACTTCAGTACAGATATTTCCGGAGATGTTTTACGCACCGTAAATGCGAAGCCGTAAATGATTTACCCAGAGGAAACGTTTATATTTTTTCAGTTTAGAAGATGAGATGAAGAATTTCAAGCTTACCTGCTTTGAACTTATTATAAATCGAATGAAACACGCGACTCCAAAATTCTTCATTAATTACCTGTTTCAGCGTAGAATCTTGTCTGAAAACTGTATAAATTTGTGGTCTATAAACTTCAATAAATCCAAAAAAGAAGAAATTCAGACATCACCACCGCCACCTGAACCGTCGCCACATCCCGAACGAGCTGGAAGACATCCTGGCCGGCGGAAAACAAGGAAATCTCCAGGAGATCTTCTCCAAGGACGTCGTCCGGATCACCTGCCACTGGCGCTTCAAGAAGGTCTTCGGCGAGGAGAAGGCCAAGAAGATCGAGGAATGGTTCGACAGCGCGACCCCTCGCGAGGAGATCTTCAAGATCCTCGCCGACATGGCCCTCAAGGTAGAACATCCCTGGGATCGCTTTTTGACCAGGGAAACATTGGATAATCCGATGTCAATTTCAAGCTTAATTTCATTTTATTCCTTGTTTAAAAAAATCAAAAAAATCATTAAAATGTGATTGAAACCGGTTTGATAACGAAAAAAATTTTTTTGTCGCTAGAAAAGCCTTTTTCAAGTTGCGCCCGACCTGAAACGGCTAACGCGCATCTTATCAAATAACGATAAAAAAAGATGATTGAAACTTGTTTTATTTTTAAGAAAAATTTTTGAATTTTCCTCATTTGTAAGCTCATAACTAAAAGTGCCTTTTTTTCAAAGTTGCGCCTGGCCTGAAACGGCTAACGCGCAAGGGCATGGTTAACTGAGACAAAAAGAAGATGGACTTGATAGATCCACTTTTTGAACCATTCCAATTGCGACCAATATTTGAAAATCTGGAAGAAATTTTCCTCGTGAAATTTTGTAACCTCTAAATTTCTTGTCGTGATTATAAAGTTCAGTGGGAATAAAAAAAAATTTGAAAATCATAACCTTTTTTAAAATCCGCTGAAACAAGGAAATGATTCAGTAGCCGGAATTTTTTTTTTCGATGTAAGGTGTATTCCGTTTTTCGCCTGTTTTCTCTGCACCCTCCTCGTCTCTCGGCGACCCTCTCATGTTGTCGTGCTATTTCCATTTTTCTCTAACCTCGCCGGTGAGGGAACAGAGAGACGCAGACACTAAAACTGTCAAGCTTTTACAACCATTCCCGTTCCTCAAGAATGTCTTTTTCAGGTCGAAATCCCCTTCAAACGTGAAATGGCCATCAAGGTCGTGAGACGCTGCAAAGAGGAGCACGAAAACGCCAAGAAATCCCAAAAGCGCAGGTTTTTATCCGAGAAAAACGAGGAAAATTCATTTTTTAAGGTCGCTCGATGCGAAAATCCATCGCGAATTCCAAGTTCTCCGTCGGGAGCGAAGAAATCAACGTCATCACATGGTGGGATCTCACTTAGGAACGCCAGAGTGGTCCCTATAGGGTCTAGAGTGCCTAAGTAGCGGACCCCCTAGGGGGCACTTTTTGCCACATATAGGGGCTGCTTTTCTTCCTAAACTCGATAGGGACCACTTTCAGGATCTAATCTCGAAACCCTAAAGTCTAAGGGGCCCCTACAGGGGTCAGGGAGGAAAACGACCCCTATAGGTGCTGAAAGAGTGGTCCCTATAGGGATTTAGGATCTGATTCCGAAGCCTCCAAAGCTGGAGTGGTCCCTACAGGAGTCAGGGAGGAAGACAACCTTATAGGTGCTGAAAAAGTGCTAACTATAGGGGTTTAGGGTCTGACTCGGACTATAGTGGCCCCTTAAGGGAAGTAAAGTAATCCCTAATATAGTTTCGAAAATTGACCGTTCGACCGACCGTTCGACCAATATTTTTTCAACATGTCATAATAAATGGTCATTGGTCGAACGGTTGGAGTTTCAACATTTCAACATGTCACTTCAGAATGACATGTTGGTTTTTGACCGTTTGAAATGTCACTTCGAAATTGGTCGGTCATTTTTCGAACGTTCGAAATGTCACTTCGAAAATGGTCGGTCATTTTTCGAACGTTCGAAATGTCACTTCGAAAATGGTCGGTCATTTTTCGAACGTTCGAAATGTCACTCTGAAAATGGTCGGTCATTTTTCGAACGTTCGAAATGTCACTTCGAAAATGGTCGGTCAGTTTTTGACCGTTCGAAATGTCACTCTCAAAATGGTCGGTTATTTTTTGACCGTTCAAAATGTTACTTTTGAATTGGTTGGTCATTTTTCGACCGTTCGAAATGCCTATTCGAAAATTTTCTCTTACGCTGGAAGTGAGGGCTCGTGCGCGAGACACATTCCTTCTTACTGCGTTCCAGTCTTTCACGTGCAAACTTTGAGCCGTCATAATTTGACTACGAGGCAAAAGGCGAGATATTTTATTTTTGATTTGGAATCAGCATGCCTTAAAGTACACCCCTGCGAAGTTTCATCAAAAGTTTAACCGGGGGATAAAAACAGTTTCCTTGTCAGAGTAACTAGGAGCTTATTCATTTTAACGAAGCACGCGGAGTTTTCTCAAAATTCCATACTTTTCGCATACGTTGATTCAACTTATTTCATTTCAGACATTTCAAACTTTTTTCAGTCAAATTTCGATCGTTTGAAACGTCATTTCAAAATTGGTCGTTCATTTTTTGACCGTTCGAAATGTCACTCTGAAAATGTTCGGTCATTTTTCGAACGTTCGAAATGTCACTCTGAAAATGTTCGGTCATTTTTCGAACGTTCGAAATGTCACTTCGAAAAAGGTCGGTCGGTTTCGTAAATTTCAGAAATTGGTCGGTCAAACGAACGGTCAGAAAAATGACATGTTATAACCGTTCGAAAAACTGAACGGTCATATCAGTTGAACGGTCTAATTGGTCGAACGGTCGAATTTTAGAACACTAATCCCTAATGGGGAAACTTTTAAGAGCCGTTATGGTCGCCCCTATAGGGACCACTCGGGAGTTCCCTGGAATTTTTGAAATTTTCAGTTTGAATTTGTGAATTTTGTAGAAAATCATGCATTTTTTTTGGCCTTAAATGAGCTGAATTTTTCCAGATCCATTCGGACGAACTCTACCTGTGACGTCATTAACTTATTATTTTTGTTCAATATTGTAAATTGCCTTGATTGAACATATAATCAAATTGCCGTGGATGTCGTATTTTCTGTCATGTTCAAAAGTCTCGGAATGTGTCAAATAAATAGTTGTTGCAGGTAAAAATGCTGTTTATTGTTTGGGAAAGCAGTTTCGAAAAGTGCAATTAAATACAATTTTATTGAGAGCTAATTTATTTTTTGACGTTCTGTCCTTGAATTAACACTCTGTCTCTGGAATTTTCGAAAAAAAATGTTTTAATTTTGAAGGAATATTTCCCTGAGTTATTATATGACGTGAAAAGTGATTCATCGAGCCATTACCTCCTACCGTAGCCGGCTTACGGTAGGCACCTGCGTATCTAAAAATCGATACTGGAACACCTTGTACATGCAAAACAAAAAACTCACTAAGGACCCGTCAAAAATCAAAAAATTGACTGTTTCATTAAAAAAATCCTATCTACTCCTAGAAGAAACTTTTCCCTTGAAAAAATGAAAAACGATTGAAATCATCTCGAATTTCTCAAATTAAACGGGGAAGTTTTGTGTTACCTACACTTACGCATACCTTTTGACGAAAACCGGTATCAGTCGGTTGAAAAAATCGACCAGGTTGACAATGTCACCTATTATTGATGATATGGTGATCTGGAAATTGATGTTCCCAGTTGTCAATCTAGTGGAGCAAATTTTTGAAAGCTTCTCTTAAGAGACTCGAAAAAACATCAAATTTCGCTTTTCTCGTGAAATTAAAATTTCTGGCAATTGGAATATTGAATTGAGAAAAAAAGAAAAAAATGCACTTTTCATGAACTTTTCAATCGAAAAAAATATTGCTTTTTTTCTGATATTTTGTGACCGAGAAAAATAGCCGGTATCAAGACTAACTTCTGGAAAAAAAGCGTACTTCGTAGCATCCTGAAATTAATCGAAAGAAAAAAATTAACTAACCCACGTAAGTAAATTTGAATTTTTTTTTATTTTACAATGTTCAGTGTAATTTTACCTTTCTCCTGAGCGAAACTTCCAAAAATTTGCTTCACTAGATTGACAACTGGGAACACCAATTTCCAGATTACCATCCTATCAGTAATAGAAACATTGTCAACCTGGTCGATTTCTTCAACCGACTATTACCGGTTTTCGTCAAAAGGTATGCGTAAGTGTAGGTAACACAAAACTTCCCCGTTTAATTTGAGAAATTCGAGATGATTTCAGTTTTTTTAAAGGAAAAATTTCTTCTAGGAGTAAATCGAATTTTCGAATGAAAAAGTCATTTTTTTTTTGATTTTCATTTAAGGGGATATCATTTTACATGTCGTTTGGTGAATTTTTTGTTTTGCAAGTACAATATTTTACAGTATAACTTCGTCTATTGAAAAAAATCTGGTTTAGTGAGAAAAAAATAAATGATTAGAAGAGAGAAACCAATTTTTTTCTTCATTTCGATTAAACTTTTTTCCCCCGCGCGTTTGGTGTAGAATTTCGTCATTCCCCAACTTGGTGTATTTTTTTAACTTGAAAAAAACCCAAAAAGTTCAAATTTTCTGTTTTTTTCTTTTTTTATGGAAAGAAAAAAATTTATAAGCCAATTTAATCTTTTTTTCTAATTTTTACACCTTTTTTTCTAAAAATTCTATAATTTTTGTTTAACGTAATTTTAGCTTACTCCTAAGAGAAGCTTCCAAAAATTTGCTCCACTAGATTGACAACTGGGAACACCAATTTCCAGATCACCATCTTACTAATAATAGATGCCATTGTCAACCTGGTCGATTTTTTCAACCGACTGATACCGGTTTTCGTCAAAAGGTATGTGTAAGTGTAGGAAACACGAAACTTCCCCGTTTAATATGAGGAAATCGAGATGATTTCCGTCGTTTTTCATTTTTTTTTTTTCAAGGGAAAAGTTTCTTCTAGGAGTAGATAGGGTTTTTGAATGAAACAGTCAAATTTTTTTGATTTTTTTATTTAAGGAGATATCCTTTTTGACAGTTCGTTTGTTGAAATCTTTGTTTTGCATGTACAAGATTTTTACAGTATAAAAATCGTCTATTGAATAAATCTAAAAGTTAGAAAAATAAATGATTAGAAAATAGAAACCATTTTTTTCCTTCATTTCGTTTGAACGTTTTTGTCCCCGCGCATTTGGTGTAGAATTTCGTCATTCTCCAAATTGGTGTATTTTTTTCAAACTTGAAAAAAACCCAAAAAAGTTCGAACTTTCTGTTTTTTTCTTGTTTTGAAATTAAAAGTAAAAAAATTTAATAAGCAAATTCAATTTTTTTTTTTCCTAATTTGCTTACTCCTGAGAGAAACTTCCAAAAATTTGCTCCACTAGAGAAATTGCAGGAACATCAATTTCCAGATTACCATCCCATCAATAATAGAAACATTGTCAACCTGGTCGATTTCTTCAACCGACTGTTTCCGGTTTTCGTCAAAAGGTATGCGTAAGTATAGGAAACACGAAGCTTCCCCGTCTAATTTAAGAAATTCGAGATGATTTCAATCGTTTTTTTCAGTGTTTTCTTAAGGGGAAAGTTTTTTTCTAGGAGTACATCGAATTTTTTTGAATGAAACAGTCAAATTTTTTTATATTTTTTTTCAAGGGAATATTCTTTTGACTGGTCGTTTGATGAAATCTTTTTTTGCGTGTACAAGAGTTTAAATTATGAATCCGTCTATTGAAAAAAAGCTAATTTAGTGAAAAAAATAAATGATTAGAAAAAGAGAAACCAAATTTTTTTAAAAATTTCGATTAGACGTTTTTCCCCCGCGCATTTGGTGTAGAATTTCGTCCTTTCCCAACTTGGTGTATTTTTTTAAACTTGAAAAAAACCCAAAAAAAGTTCGAACTTTCTGTTTTTTTGAAATTAAAAAGAAAAATTTAATAAGCAAATTTAATATTTTTTCTAATTTTACACCTTTTTTCTTAATTTCTATAATTTTGTTTAACGTAATTTTAGCTTTCTCCTAAGAGAAACTTCCAAAAATTTGCTCCACTAGATTGACAACTGGGAACATCAATTTCCAGATCACCATCCCATCAATAATAGAAACATTGTCAACCTGGTCGATTTCTTCAACCGACTGTTTCCGGTTTTCGTCAAAAGGTATGCGTAAGTATAGGAAACACAAAACTTCCCCGTTTAATTTGAGAAATTCGACATGATTTCCGTCGTTTTTCAGTTTTTTAAAGGGAAAAGTTTCTTCTAAGAGTAAATAGAATTTTTGAATGAAACAGCCGAATTTTTGATTTTTTTTAAGGAGATATGCTTTTTACATGTCGTTTGGTGAATTTTTTGTTTTGCATGGACAAGATTTTACAGTATAAAATCGTCTATTGAAAGATCTGATTTAGTGAGAAAAATAAATTTTTAGAAAAGAGAAATCAGTTTTTTTTTCATTTCGATTAAACGTTTTTTTTCCCCGCGCGTTTGGTGTAGAATTTCGTCATTCTCGCATGCTGAGCAGGTGTCTCAACGGGTGTACCCGTATTAAACCCGTGTTTCTGAGGTTATTTTAGTCTCAGTTGGGCTAAAACGGGGGAACAACGGGTGTAAGAAAAATAGGTAACCCAGCTGGGCTAAAGCGGGGTCTCAGTTGGGCTAAAAAGTGCCAAAAGTTCTATCAGCTGGGCTTTTACGGGTTTAATACGGGGGCACCCGCGGAGACCCCGTGTTAGCACGGCGGGGTTACCCTGCTCAGCATGCGAGTTCCCCAACTTGGTGTATTTTTTAACTTGAAAAAAAACCCAAAAAGTTCAAATTTTCTGTTTTTCTTTTTTTTATGGAAAGAAACATTTATAAGCCAATTTAATCTTTTTTCTAATTTTACACCTTTTTTCTAAATTTTTATAATTTTGTTTAATGCAATTTTAACTTACTCCTAAGAGAAGCTTCCAAAAATTTGCTCCACTAGATTGACAACTGGGAACACCAATTTCCAGATCACTATATCCATCATTAACAGAAACATTGTCAACCTGATCGATTTCTTCAACCGACTGTTACCGGTTTTCGTCAAAAAGTATGCGTAAGTATAGGAAAAACGAAACTTCCCCGTCTAATTTGAGAAATTCGACATGATTTCAGTCGTTTTTCAGTTTTTTTAAGGGAAAAGTTTCTTCTAGGAGTAAATAAAATGTCTGAATAAAAACAGTCAATTTTTTTGATTTTTTTAAGGGGATATCCTTTTTACATGTCGTTTGGTGAATTTTTCTGTTTTGCATGTACAAGATTTTTACTTTATAGATTCGTCTATTGGAAAAATCTGATTTAGTAAAAAAATAAATTATTAAAAAAAGAGAAACCAATTTTTCATTTCGACTAAACTTTTTCCCCGCGCATTTGGTGTAGAATTTCGTCATTCTCCAACTCGGTGTATTTTTTTAAACTTTAAAAAAAGTTAAAATTTTCCTGATTTTTTTCTTCTTTTCTTGAAATTCCAGGTGAGGTATTTTTTTCATTTTTATGAAAAAGCTGAAAAAAATTCGGTTGGTTCACTCAGTTCAGAGCGTTTTTTTTATAGTGGCTAATTTCTGGAACTTCTCTCAGTTAATCATTATTTACTCCTTCAGAATGCGTAAAGGTCTTATTTTTTTAAATAATTTTGAATTATTAATTAATAAAATACTGACGGTAAAAAAAGGTTTTGTTTTTCTCTCTCGGAGGAAATAAAAAAATAGTGACAAGTTGACGCGGAATATTCAAAGTAGTAAACGAATAGATGAACTAAAATAAGTGATTTATTTCTTAGAAATGAACATAAATGACGGAACGTAGAACGAATGGAAAGGCATTGCCAATCATTGGAGGATGACCGAGTGCAAAGGCTGCGAATGCACGGCCCGCGCCGTTCACAAACTCGAATCTTCTATCAATTACCTGCTGCTCGAAGGCAAACAGGTTCATTTCATTCAAATTTACTTCTTGGATGACATTTTACTATTGAGATTGAGAGTTGAATTATAGTGTGTTCAGATTTTGAAAGTAAAGTCATCGCTCAAGCTCCGCCCCTAATAGTGCGATAAACCAATAAGATAGCTAGTCATATAGGGAGCGTTTTCGAATGACGTCATCGTTTTGAAATTCGAAATCGGAGCAGACTTCAGGGGGGCAAAAGCACATCAGAAAATAAAGTTACCGTAAAGTTTTTTTTTTCTTTTTACAAACGGCAAAAAAGGTCTTGAAGCGAAGTTTGATGGTCGAATTGGGTATACGGTCATTTTGCAAAAAAAAAAAGGTCGAACAAGCTAAGGTGGAATGGGTTTTATAGCCAGCTTTTCACGATTTTTGTTTCCCTTCAAGCTAATAAAGACTGTTCCGTTCGATGCACGCGGCCGTCTCTGGGCATGCGCCTTTAATAAGAAAAAGTCCTAATAAAAGGCTCGAGCATAGATAACCTCTATTAATTTTCTTATTAAAGCCGCATGCACCGAAACGGACCTCGACAGAAGGGCTCTGTAGCTGAAAAAAAAAGTCAAAATCGTGACAAGCCGACGCGGATTGGGCTACAACACGTGTCCAAAAAGAAGTTTTTAATATTTTCGAATGATTACCGTAAACCAAAATTGACTTCGCTTCAAGACCTTTATTCCCTTCATATTTTAGAGTCTCTTGTGCAGTTTTGTAGAGAAAAAGTTGCAAAAATACCGTATACCAAATTTCGCTTCGAGACTTTTTAGAGGAAAAGGCGAAAAAGGCTGTTTACGGTAGCTTCTATTCCGCTGTGCTTTTCAAAACGTGACCTTTTTACGCCAAACGGATCATAGATAATGGAAGAAATTATTCCAGGTGAACAAGATAACGAGCGAGAACAAGAAGAAGATCGAAGAGTTACGACGGGCCGAGCGCGATGCTCTCCGGAAACGATTCAATGTGCGAAACTCATCATTTCTCAATAAAAATGAACTGTTTAAGGTCCCAACGACGGACCTAAAAAATGCGTCAAGCAAAAGGTCGAAAAGTAATGTTCAGAGTGAATCTTCGCGCAAACAGAATAAGGTTTTATTTTTTTTATTCGAAAAAAAAATCCATTTCTTATTTTCAGTCAACCCCGATGACCTTTGTGACCGAGGCCTGTCCTCCATCTCTGGTTGGTTTTGGATTTTTTTTTTTTAGAACTCGGTTGCTACGACGAGGGCTTTTTTAAATTTGAAGAGTACGGTATGTGAAAGTCCGCATTTGGCGTGTGCGTGTTTGCACTTTTGAGCGGTACCGTTTCCGCTTTTTTCCAGTTTTTTTCTGATTTTTTTCCGAATGGATTGAAACTACAGGAAAAGTTGGATTACATAAAATATTCTGACCTGTTATATATCGAAAAAAAAAGTTTTTAAGAATGGAATCACGCGAAATGTGAAAACACGCACACGCCAAATGCGGACTTTTACATACAGTACTCTTCGTAAACTCTGAAAACGGCATGTTTTCTCGAAATTCGTACAAAAAACATGAAATAATTGTTTTCCTGACTTTTTTAAAAATCAACTCATTTCTCACTTTTCAGTTATAACCCTAACCTTTTTGGGTACTCAAACCTTCCGTTTCAGTCTAAATCGATTGAAAAATCAAATTATTTCTTTGAAAAAAATCAGAATCTTGAAGTTATCAAAACAAGAAATTAATAAAAACTTCAAAGGGACATTTTATGAAGAGCTTCAAAAAAAGTTATTTAATTTCTCGTAGTATTTTTTTCTGGATTTTTTTTGAGAAGTTTCCATAAATTGAAGATTCCTTGAATGAATCTTGTACATTTATGTCCGAATATTATAAATAAAATGATAACTTTTTGAATTTCGTAAATTTATTTTTTTGAGCGAGATGAATGATGAATGAATAAACAAGGATTCCTGTTCTGTACCTGGTATATTTATTTTTTTGAGTAAAATAAATGAACAATTTGTCTATTTATCACAACAAGAAAGAAGTACATACAAATTGTATGATGTCGTTTTTTTCCATATCTGCGATCCAAGTGAACTCTTTAGGGTTAAAATTTTGAAATTGAATGAATGAATAAGTGAATAAACTATTATTCCTTTTATTTGCCTTGTCGAATCATTTTTTTGGATGAAATAAAAAAATAAACGATAATTGCTGTTTTTTTCACTTTGTATATCAATATTTGAATTGAATAAATGAATGAATCCCAGCCAACGGAGTTCACGACGACGAGTTGCGACACGACGCGCAAAAGCAGGGGTTCATCGACGGTTCGAATCGACTCGTCTTCCGCCGTTTCAACCCAAAAAGACCAAACTGGCCATATTCAGCTCGTCCGGAACGTCAAGCAGGTCCATTTGAAGTCTAATCAACTCTTGGGAGGGTCCTGGAGTTTGAAGGGAGCAATAAAGGGGTTCTGAAGTTACTTGATTACTAAGTTACTGGGAAACGTTGGAGTGACACACTTAGGAGCGCCAAAGTGGTCCCTATAGGGGTAGAATCCAGGTGGTCCCTGTAAAGGTTGAGAGTCTGACCCCTAAGCCCCTAAAATTTGAACGAATATTATAAAATTTCGTCAATTAATCCTATGTTAATATTTTTTGAAAAGGGATCCCTTGAGGGGAACCTTTAGAGCCCTCTAATTTTGCCCCTATAGGGATCACTCTGAGGCTTGTAAAATTGTTTTTGATATCATTTTATAACAACAGCATGAGAAATAGTCTATTTTTTTTGTTTGGAATTCGTCTCTGTTGTATCAATTGCGCTCGATTCTTCTTGAGGTCTTATAAACACAATGAAACGTGTTTCTTACCTTTTTTATTTCGAGTTGGGAAAATAATTTTGTCATTTTGAAGGAATTTGCTTCTTTTTAACGAAAACGAGACCTTCTTACACGTTTCATTTCCTAATCACGACAATGTTTAGAACAATTTCGTTTCTATTTTACTCAGATTTATAAGAATTTTCTAGATATTCATTTTGAACCATTTCCTCGAAATCACGTAACGGTTTGTTTGATTCATCACACACCACCAACATCAGTGGAAAGACCATAAAACTTGGGTCTTTCGGAAAATATGCAATCATTACGTTTTGTAATCAAAGTACGGCAAGTACGAAAAAAGAGAAATATACAGCGATAAGGACGGCATCGTTTCAGCAAATTCCCCAACAAAGATAGATAAAAACGGGCTCGGTTTTCGGGGCTTACCAATGAAACGAATTCCCGTTTCGGGGTTGGAAAGAAGGGCCCGAAAAGAAAAATGAGATTTTTTGTTTTTCATCAATTTTTTCACGATCACTGCTTCAAGTCGGATTATTATAAATTTGAGAAGTTCAAAAAGTAGTCAGAGTGCGCTTTGCAAGCAACATAAATAAATTGGTGATCTAAAAAAAAAAATAATGATATAGTAGTTGGAAAAAATTCAGTTAACTCTTTACGAGATTATACTATATTCAAAGCAGTCTCGAGACTTTTTTTTTTCAGTTTTCTCCATTTTTCTTAACTTCAGTCGTAAGGGGGCTGGTGCAGAACTGTCCAGAAAAAAGTTACTTCAAAGTTTTGAAAAAAAAATTCGAAAATTTTTGATTAGTTCAGTGAACGTTGACAGAATTAGAAGTAAGCGTTTAACTCGGAAAAAATAATTTTAAAAAAAACTGAGGAAAGTCTCTCGAAGCCTTTGAAAAAAGTCTGCCCATGTATGGCTTGTGTACAATCAAGTATTATAAATTACAGTACCTTCAGAAGAGATACGAAAGTTTTTTTTGCTCTTTTTCGTGTGGAGCTCAATCTTTTGGAAACTTTTCAGAGATGCCTTTTTTCAGCGGACCCAAATTGGGTACTAATAAAAGTGATCCAGAAAGTTTCCGGAAGGTTAAATTTCATAAAAGAAAATTTTATCGTATCTTATTTCACGGAACTGTTTATGGGAAAGTCATACATAAGATGAGCATGACTGTCGACACCCAAGTCCGTTGAAAGTTTTTTTACGTTTTTTTGCCGACCCCCCTCTCTTTCAGGTCCCACCGAGACTATCCCATGTATGACTAGACAGGTTAGAAAAAGGGTTTCAGAGCATCAACGCTTCGATCGACGACACCTTCATCCGCCACTCGTACACGATTGAACGGGACGGATCTCATTTGACGCTGCCGGCCATGGTAATTTTTGGACTAGGAAGAATGAAAAAATGCCCCATGACTTGATAGATCAGCGATCACATCGGAATGGCTCATTTTTTCAGTCGCTTCACTTGGGGACGCCAGAGGGGTCACTAGAGGGCCTGAGGCTCCCCTCAGAGGCCACCTTAAGTTGACCGATAGGGCCCTGAAGTTTGCAGAAGGGGCCTCTTTAGGGGAGCATTCTGGTGGTCCCTAGAGCAACAAAAAATTAAGTTAGATGTACAAGTTCAAAAAACCTCTGTAACGATTACCTTTTGGCATGATTTAGTCTGTTCAAACTTTCAATGTCAAGTGCGATGACGTCATTCAAAAGCACTCTGTGGATGGCTCGATTTCTGATTGGTTTATCCCACCATTAGGGGCGGAGCTTGAGCGACGACTTGACATTCAAAATCTGAACAGACTATAGATAGTTCAGAGTGAATAGTAGAATCACTTTCCTCTCGAGAAAAACCCACTTCCAACCTTTTCAAATCCATTTTCCAGGTAAAGGTGAAACAGCTGCCGGACGGTTGGCTCGACGTGACCTACGTGATGCTCAGCGAACACAACCACGTCCTGATGCGTCTGACTTGCGATCTGTACGGAACCCAGACCCGCAACGTGGTCATCAACGACGTCCTCGTCAAGAACTGATCTCCAACTTTCCTTCTTCGATTTCCTGGTTTCTCGTCCCCATCGCCTATTCACCACCAATAAACTTGTAGTTTTCTGCTTTTCCTTTTTTTTTTATAGAAAGGTTTTTTTTGAATTGTGTTAGAAGAAACGATCATAGTATTTTAGGGACTTTAAAGCTTTCTAAGCCTTTAGGGACCACTTTTTAAATCTTTAGAGGCCCCTATAGGGGTCGGTAATGTGTATACAGAAAAAAGGATCATAGAATTTTAGAGGCTTTCCAGTTTTCTAAGCCTATAAAAGACACTAATTAGAACCCTATAGGGACCACTTTTCAAAGCTTTAGAGGCCCCTATAGGGGTCGGTAATGTGTATACGAAGAAACGGTCACAGTGTTCCAGAGGCTTGAAAGTTTTTCAAGCCTATAGGAGACACTGATTAGAACCCCATAGGGACCACTTTCGAAAGCTTTAGGGGCCCCTATAGGGGTCGGTAATGTGTATACAGAAAAAAGATCATAGAATTGTAGAGGCTTTCCAGTTTTCTAAGCCTATAGGAGACACTGATTAGAACCCCCCCATAGGGACCACTTTCGAAAGCTTCAGGGGCCCCTGTAGGGGTCGGTAATGTGTATACGGGGAAACGGTCACATTATTCCAGACTCTTTCAAGTTTCCTGAGCGAAAAAAAAAATTTCTTGGCTTTTTCATTCCACTTGAAACCAAAAAAATGAAAATGAAGCGTCGAAAATGCTTGAATAATAATTCCGATAACATGCAAATAGTGCGAAAATTATCAATTATTCAAAACTCGTCGGGCTTCAAAAAGCCCTGATCACAGCGTTTTCCAACAGTTTTTCGCGCTTTTCCTTTTTTTTCTATATTTATTTTGCCATGGACTTTGGTCTGGTCGCGTTTGGAATGGCTCGAGCTTCTACCGACTCTAGGACCAATAATAATTGGAAAATTCGAAAAAAAAAGATTTTCTCTTGAATATATCACTTTTTTGTTTCAAAGTTTTCCTTTAAGACTTCAAACTATATCACGAAATGGTCACTATAGGAAAGGCTTGGCTTCAAAATTTTTAATTCAAACCTCAACCGACCAGAAGCGACTTCCGCGCATTAATAGCGTATAAAAAGAGATGGAAGCCCATTTCAAGCGCAATTTTCGACTCTTTGAGCAATTTTCTGGGCTAGAAATGATTAAAAAAATATTTTGCAATATATTGAAAGTACAAAAATGCTCGTTTTCGGGTTTTTTATACATTTTCAAAGCCGAAAATGCTCTTTTTCGATAACCCACAACGTTTTCTAAGCCGAAAAAGCTTCTTTTTTTGGGATTGCTAATACGATCAGTGTCAAAAATGCTTATATTGCGATTCTGCAACATTTTCGAAGCCTAAAATGCTCCTTTTTTGATACTATTCGACATTTTCCGAGCTAAAATGCGCCATTTTTAATATTTATCGTCATTTTCAGAGTCCAAAATGGTCCTTTTTCGATATTTCTGTACATTTTCAAAGAAAAAAATGCTCTTTTTTTTTGAAGTTTCTACACATTTTTAGAATCAAGAAGACTTTTTTTCCGACCCGAAATTCATCCATTCTTTCAAAAACCCTCGACATTTTCAGAGCCCCAAAAATGATGAGCTCGAGCTTGAGACTGGTGGTCGTGCTGGCGTTGGCGGGCTCGGTTCTCGCCTGCAATCCCAATCCGAGGCCACAGGTTCGACCAGCTCCACCCGTGGCCCGTGAGTTTTTCAATTGAAATGAGATGGTGTAGTGCCTGGGAGCTTCACGGCTACTCCTAGGATCGCTGGTTCGAGTCCTATCGCAGAAGTTTTTTGCCATTATATTTTTGAAAAATGTGAGCATTCTGGCTGTTTTTCCTGTTGATACTCTGTCGATAAACCAAAATTTACGAAAACACTTAAAATCCTTACATTCAGGGATAAATCGAATTTTCTATCTTTCCTTAAAATCTTAACACATTTTGGGGTTTTTCTCTCATTACCGTCAAGAAGACTGAACTTTTTCATCGATTTACAATCAGAAAACGAAAAGCCCTTGAAAAATGACCAAAATTCCGCATGATCTCCTTTTTTTTTGGAACTTTGAGAATATTTATTTTTTCAGAAGCCGAGCCGTGTACTTGCCTGGTGACGTACGAAGCCGACGTTATACGGGTTGGTTTCATTTTGCCGCGGAATCTTCGTAAATCCTGTTCCATTTAAAAACAAAAAGTCACAAAAACAAAATTTCCTATTAGAAAAAAACATGAAAACGAATATTAAGTTACAGATGATTGGATATTAAATTTCTAGAAAATTTTTTTCTAAACTAATCGTATAGTCGAAATCTATGTGAGAGAAAAAGTTAAGAAACCTCAAACTTTAACAATAATTTGCAAAAACTATGAAAATAAATTCGAAATTCCAGAAAAAAAAAACTTTTGAACTACTTATCCTTCGAAAATCGTGAAGCAACACTTTGAACAGACTTTTGATATTTTTCTAGGAAACAAAAAGTTCTTTTGGAAATGCCTTAAACTTTAAACAACTGAAACAACACTCTCTTTCGGTTTACTTTCGGAGTATTTAAAAAAAAAGCTGAAAATCGTCAATATTCAAACAGCCTTAAACAGCACTATGAACAGGATTTTGATATTTTTTTCATGGATAAACTGAAAAATCTTCATTTTCTAAACGGTCAAAGCAACCCTATTTTTCAGTTAATAAGCCATTTTTCTCAGGCCGAAATCCTGCAACAGCCGACGACCCAGAACAACTGCGAGAAGCGCTACCGATTCACGCCCACTAACAAAAGCGAATACGTCTTCTTCTTCGTAATTCCGAGGGAGTTTCCTTCGAAAATGTCATTTTCAGCCGAATAACTCGGAAGAGGTGAAATACGTGCCGACCGGGTCGGCCCCGGGCTCCCCCCTGTACATCAACGTGCGCTGCAGCCGCGACGGCGGTCCGGTCCGCATCTTCGACACCAACTCCGTCCCTCCGGCCCCCACCGGCCCCACCGAGAAGGTCTACATCGGCAGATTCGACGGCACTCAAGAGCGATAAACATTTTCTGCCTCATTTTGAATAAATTTGGTTTTTTTTGGAGTTTTTTCTTTTCTTGATGCATCAATAAAACAGATCGGGGGCAAAATTAACAAAAAAGGGCCTACGATCAAATCTTCGAAAGTCAGAGCATTCAAAAAGGAAAGGGAGGCTCTTTTTTCTAAATTTTCTCTTGTTTTCCAGTGCTTTCCAGCTATCGAATATTCGACCCTCGAAGGGTATCCTCACAAAAAATAAATTTCATAAAAAAAAGAAAAAAGGTATAATGAAACTGAAAAAAAAAACAGTTTGAGAGTTAGATAAAACTTGGTGATTTTGGAAAAAGTCAAAAACTCACCTCTTTCCCTTTTTGAACGAACTAATTTTTTTTTAAGTTCGATCGAGGGAAAAAAGGATTCTGCCGATAATCATAAGCCTGGACTGAAACGAGTAATTGTATTTGAATCGAGAAATCTTTAGGAAAATTCATGAAAAGGGCTTTTCAACACGAAGTGTTATAGCATCATAAAAAAAATAAATACTTGACTTTTGAAAAAGTTTTCATTGAATCTGCCATAATACTTCTCAAATCAACCATTAAATCGATACAAAAAAAATTTAAAAATAAAGGAATAATTTTTTAAATGTTTTTGCCATACAGTACTTTGAAATTCTGCATACACAGCGACGCGTTTGCTGGCTTTCGAAATTTTTTTAAATTTTTTTAAAATTCTTTTTACTTCGAAATTTTTTTGTTTATCTTGAGTTCTTTTTAATATTTTTTTATTCATCACAGTTTGAAGATTGTTCTCAACGCTCAAACCACACATAGTGGGATGATGAAGGTACCTATTTTCTTTCAAAAAAAAAAAACTGGAGTGCTCATGAAAAGTAAAATACATTTTTGAAGCTGTTTTATCCACAAAACGGATTCAAAGCGTTCTGGGAATTGTTTGATTAACTTAATATTGGACATACTTCCCAATGAAGTTGGTTAAAAAAAGTTTTCTACTTAAAAAAATTAAGTATTTTTTTTCTTTTGAAGTTATTTGTACATTTGTTTTTTTGTAAATTTATTTCAAGTTTCGCCAAAAAAATTTAACTAATGATTGTCAAAAAAATGGAAAAAAATAATTTATTTGAAGGCAAAACTGAGATTTTCGATAACCGATCCAGTTACAAATGTGTTTCAAGTCATAACTATAAACCATTTTCGACAAAATGGCTCGTTGACATTCCCTTTTTTTCCCTGCTTCTCGAAAAAGTTCTTCAGGATTTTTCTGATCATTTAATCCGTTTTTCAGCTCTACTTTTTAAAAATTATTTTCATATAGGAACGTTTTTTTCGGCTTCCGGCTGAACTTTTGATGAAACTCGGCTGAAATTCCCTTCAGGGACTCCTAATTCCAGAACAAGCACAAAATTTTCCGCCATAAGTTTAGTTTAGAGCCTTAAAATTTGAGAATTACAGAAATAATTTTTTTAAAAAAAGTATTTGAGACGTTTGAAGCTTCTTAACTCGGGAAGGAGACCCTTAGGGTTTCCAGAGTGGTCCCTTTAGGGGTTAGGATAGAAAGCAGTCCCTATAGGGGCCGGGGAAGTGGTCTCTATAGGGGTAAAAGTTAGGTAGTCCCTATAGGGGCTTAGGGTTCGATTCCTCGGCCCCTGAAGATCAAGTGGTTCCTAGAGGGGTATTTTAACTTTTTGTTCAGTATCGAAAATTTACTTATTTATCGAGTTTTTCGCATGGAAATGCTTCTTCTCATGCGAGTTTATAAATCCTATAGGGTTTGGGAAAGTGGCCCCTAGAGCGGACCCTCCGAGAGGCCCTGAAGCAGTCTCTATAGGGACTGCTCTACAGTTAAATTTTTTTGATCTGAAATTCTAGGATATTCCAGCCAATTTTCATCAAAATATCAGCCTTGGGCCGAAAAACGTTCCCTTGTTAGTTCAAAAAAGTCTGTCCCTGGAAAAACTTGAGCCTAAGCTGGCCAATAAAAAGCGTACTTTGGAATACGTAGCGGAAAACAAAGCAAAAAACGCCTACTACACACAAATCGCCTTCCGCAACGTCGAGCGCAAGAGTTTCTCCTAATCTTGTTCTGTTAACCCGGATGTCGAAAGCTTTGCATCACTTCCTATTCTTTTGTCCTGTTTACACAATAAAAATGACGAGGTTTCATTTGGCGTCGGGCCAAGTCCCCCTCAAAGTGACCTCACAAGGAGGTTGTTTTACTTTTCGGTTGGGATTTTCCGGAAAATTGGCCAGGATACTCCTTGATGTACTGAATGGAGATTCTGAAAGTCTCAACCTTGAAAACTTCCAAGTTTTCGAAGTTTTCTTTGGGAGCAATATTCAATTCTTTCATATAATTAGATACTGTTTTTGAAGAAATATTATATTTTCTAGCAAATGAAATCATTGAATTATGAATGAAATCATAGGAATGCATTAAGTCAAGTATTTCTGATTTTTCCATTCTTATTTTTGATCTTCTTGATAAACCGAAGGTTCTAGGATTCTTGAAATCTGACAAATCAAAGGTTCTACCGAAGGACAAACAACGTATTAGAAGTTTTAAAGATTTCAATAAAAAATACGATGTATACTTTTCCAATTCAGATCTTTGATTTTTACACTCCTTAAAGTCCTATAACCTTTGGTAAGGGATTTACAATCCTATAATCTTCAGATCATGAGGTCTATAGACCGATATTCAAATAAATGCAAGGTAGATCTCTCTTTTTTATTTTTTTCTGACGTAATAATTCATCTAGTATTGAGTGAATTTTGTTGTATTCTCCATTATTTCCAGCTTGATAAGAACCTATTGATAATCTTAAAGAATCCATAAGAGCATTGATATCTTGAGGTAAAAAGTCAATAGCATTTCCTGAAGCTGAAGTTGTAGCACTATTTTCAGTAGCTTGAGTTTTTGTTTGACTTTGAGACCTTGGTGAGAAGTAATTGTCTTTGATGAACTTCCATTTATAACTAGCATCAGCATTATATCTTTTGCTACTCTTATCAAATCCTTGATAAAGAGCATCAGAACACAATAGTATATCTCTGTAATCCAAAATATCATTCTTTTCAATTTCATTTAAATCAGGAGACTTTTTGGTTAATAATTCCATCAATCCTTTTGTTGCATTATAATCAACTCCATCTACACTTATAATATTTTTTTCTTGAATTCAACTAATTTATTACCTATTGAATATTTTTTTGACTATTCTTATCAAATCGTAAAGAATATCCTGCATTACTCTTATCACTATTATCTTGAAGATAGGAAACAATTAAATTACTAACTTCTTTTGTAGCTGAAGTTCCTTGAATCTGTGGTTTACTTGGACTACTTTTAGCATTAGCAATGGGTAAGGAACCAATGGGTAAGGAATTAGTAGAGTTATTACTTCTAAAACTATTCAAAGTTTCCACAATTTTATTTTTCTCTTCAATTATTTCTTCCTGTAACTTTTTACTTGATTCTAATATTGGTTTGAAAATTTCAACACGATTTTCTTCTACACTTTCTAAATTACTGCGCTCTTCTGAATTTTTTAACTTGTGTTCTTTTCTATTCTTTAGAAAAGATTCAATTATTTTATTCCTTTTATGGGGATCATAAATTTCAACTATCTTTGGTGCAAAAGACATTATTTTCAAAATTAAAAAAATTGAAAAAAATTAATGTATTTATAAATGGAAGAAATTATTCAATATTCTTTTCACTTCCGCAGAAGACTTAAGTGAAAAAAAGATCTTCAGAAAATGAGAAGAGATGAAGTTCGTAGAAAAGTAGCAATGATTGGAAATGAATTGAGAAAAACACATTCTCAAATCTAAAAGAAATCCAAATGATGAGAAAACAAGAGATGATTGACTTTATCTTGAAGTTTAAAGACCTGGCACTATAAAATGATATTTAGATTTTTCTTTAAAAAAAAATTCTAAATAAATGAACGTCTCAAAAGATCTGAAGCTTGTTACTAACTGCGAGTTCAGTCAGAGAACGATATTCAGGTTACAATTTATTCCTTCAGACCAAGTAAATAGAAAAAACCCGTTGATAGCAAAAAACCGGAGGCGTGTAAGAGAGAGGGAAGTTGGTATCACACGGAGAAAGGCTGGTGCCCGAAGACTTCGATGTTGTTGAGGATGACTAAAAAAAATGAAATTCTTATGAATCTTATGAACTGTGAGATAAAGAAATTATTAAATTTATGCTCACGTGCTGCCGAAATCATTTCCAGCACATTGCCGTACAGATGCGTCTCGTTCCCATCATATTCATTTCCTCTTGCGATTCCCATCAGGAAGCCGTTTCGTGAGCAGAATACGCCGCCTCAAAAATACGATAAATGCTACTACACATAGAAAAAAAGGTAAACGATTATTTGGTTGTCAATGCCAATATATTGGTTGTTTACAAAAAATTTCTTCGTGTACTACTACTGCTACTACTACCTCCACTGAACCCCGGAATACCACCGCTTTCTCCGTAGAAGAAACCACGAGAGCCAGTAGAGATCGATGAGATGTTGAGACCAACGCGGACAGAGACTGACTTCTCACCGAAAGCGCACCCCTGAAAATAAAGCAATATTAGTATGAATGATGGTTTATAAAAAGTAATTCACAATGTTTGCAATATTAATTATACTTATAAATAATCTGAATAAATAGGTAAGCTTTAATTTACTCACAATCACAATGTACTTGTCAATGAGCTGCGGAGACATCACTTTCGGCACATTCTTGAATGATCCCGCGTCTTTCCTGAACACAATGTAGTCCGAAATCGCGTTAGACCCGTGGACATGCGCATTGTGCAGCTCTCCCTGATCATCTCGAAGAATCACCGACGTACCTTAAATGTATTGACAATTTTGATCTTTATTCAGAGGTTCTAGGAATCCTACAATCCACTGCTTGCAGCTTAAGTTATTAAAGTTCCATACCATTCTCTCGGAAGCAGTCCGGTACTGAGTGGAGCGCGGAAACAGCAAAGGCATCCGCGATCACAACGGCCGAAATCCATCGATTTTCAAACTCGATAACCATGCAGTATGCAGAGATATTTTGCAATAGCGCTTGATTCGCTACGTGTTTGAACATTCTGAAAACTTTCCATTAATTAAATAATGTATAATAATAGTCAAGCGCTCTATGAAATGATGAACGCCTCTCGCGTCCGACAAATGAATGAATGAGATACGAAAGTGATGGGTGGTTGCGCTAGTGCAGAAAGAATACAATTACATCTGCGTCTCTGGTCACGCGTCACTCTTTCACTCTAGCCCAACGCGTTTGCGTGTTGCGTCGCGTGTGTCTAGTTCAACTGGGCACGGCGTTTTTGCCGCGTTTAAAGTAATAATGCCGCGTTTAAAGTAATAAAACTACACGCGGAGAAATTGTTTTTCCTGTTTACAGCCACGAGCCGAAATTATGCGCGCCGATATTCGTTGGCAACATTCCAACACAGTTTTTCTTTTTCTTTTCTTCTTTTTTTACATAATTTTTTTCTTTTCTTTTTTTCAATTTTTCAACCCGTTCAAAGCTATTGATTTTAGAAATAGTACGAATGAAAAACCTTTAGTTAATTTTTTTCGACTGTTTGAACTTGAAAAAAAGTTCAATTTTTTTCTCAAATTTCGTATTTATCGTGTTTATTATTTTTTTCCAACGGATGTATCAGAGTGTTTGAAGTTGCAGGTCTCTAAACTATGGCGGGTATTGGATTACCGAAAGTGTTAAATTTGAAAAAAAGGTTAATTTTTTTATTCAAAAAAACTTTTTTTCGCAATTATGTTTTTAAAAATTTTTTTGATTATTTTCACAAAAATTCAGACTCGTTAGGGAGGAAGGGGTGGCTCGTGTGAAGGTAGCGCGTAACTTTCGACGCCACGGGCAATAAGAAATTTGTGAGTTTTTTTCCCTATAGATCTCTCAATATAACTAGTTCATTTAATTCAGAAAAAAAGTATTGAATTTTTCAGCTCATTCGAACAAGACGTTGTGGTCAGCCGGATAAATTTGCAATTTATCATGTCTCGATTGTGTCAAATTCACAGCTTTTAACTTCCCCTTTATTTCAATGATTTTTTTTTTGTTTTATTACGCATTTATTTCCTCCATCTTTTTATTTGAATAAAGATGATGAGCATCAATTTCTTGAGGAATAAATGTAAAAAAACAAGCTGCTTAGTTAATCAAATTCAAAAACCTAATAACAGAAACTGTTTTGTTGTCAAATTTTTTTCTGAAATGCAGAAGAAAAACAATGAATTTTTTTATTAGAAAAAAAGTTCCATAAAGAGAGATCCAAGTTTCACGTGTCGTCTTTTGGTGTGTCCTTTGTAAACCGATCGTCTAGGGCCTGAAAGAAGAAAAAAATTTTTCCAGAAAGGCTGATTGAACCTTGGTATTAATTTTTTTCGTGTAAAAACTGAACAGACAAGACATATTGAAAATGAAAGAAAAATAATATCGAAGAACGACTGTAGAGACGAACATTTTGCGTTACCTTGACGAATCTGAATTTTTTTGTGAATAAAATCAAAAATTGTAAAAAGAAATTAGAAAATTTTTTTGAATAAAAATTAACCTTTTTTCAAATTTAACACTTCCGGTAATCCAATACCCGCCATAGTTTAGAGACCTGCAACTTCAAACACTCTGATACATCCGTTGGAAAAAAATAATAAACACGATAAATACGAAATTTAAGAAAAATTGAACTTTTTTTCAAGTTCAAACAGTCGAAAAAAATTAACTAAAGGTTTTTCATTCGTACTATTTCTAAAAATCAATAGCTTTGAACGGGTTGAAAATTGAAAAAAAGAAAAAGAAAAAAATTATGTAAAAAAAGAAGAAAAAGAGAAAAACTGTGTTGGAATGTTGCCAACGAATATCGGCGCGCATAATTTCGGCTCGTGGCTGTAAACAGGAAAAACAATTTCTCCGCGTGTAGTTTTATTACTTTAAACGCGGCATTTAAAAAGGCTGCAGAGGGTGGCTAGTGGGCGCGGCTTAGCGCAACTGTCGCGCAGTTTTAGGAGACGTTTCTCCGCGTAGATTTACGTGCGCGTGTAAATGTTTTTGACTGGTAAATTCTGTAAAACTGTTCTTTCCTGAGAATATCGTACGTGGAAATGTTCATCTCATGACGGGGAACGAGAGGAAACTCAAAAAAATTATAGAAGCTTATGAAGAGTGAAAAATTAGCGATTTTTCGAAAAAAATCTGTTTTTTTGCTCCAAAAATCTTGAAAAACTCGCTTTTTTTTCTGAAAAAAATGACTACGGTGAACTGTTGATCAAACAATGTAGAATAAGATAAAACCAAAGAAAGTTTTTCGAATAAAGATTGAAATAGAGAAATTAGAGCTTTTCTCGAAAAACCTGTTTTTCGTCATTAAATCACTAAAAAGTAGTCTTTTTTTGAAAATGTTTCACGGTGAACTATCAATCAAACGATGGAGAACAAGTTAAAAACACAAAAAAAGTTGCAGTAAGAGGCTAAGGTCCAAATTTTAGACGATTTGCGAAAACTGAAAACTTCGCAAAATCGGGAACAAGAAAAATCGTGTTCATCGAAAAATGTTCGTCTCAGTTATTAACAACTGTGGAGAAAAAATGGAGCAAAAAGATCTAAAAACAACGAAATTAAGTGGAAAAAAAAGAAAAAGTGAATTGAAAAATTAATAATTATCTGATAAGAAGTGTACGCTGGCGCGAACTTGCTTCCTCCTACCGTACTCCGCCGTTAGAACTTTTTCATCAGGGCACATTTTATCGCCTGCCAGTTTTTCTCTTCACGTCCACCCTTTTTAAAACGCCGTGTGGGGTGAATGTGTGATTGTTGTCATGTCTTCGATGATGACCGAAGGTTAGAAATCAATGAAAATAAGCCTTAAAATGGCTTAAAATGTGTAAAAAATGAGAGTGGTCGAAAATGTGCGCTAGAACGGTATTTTAACTATTATTTTAAATCTTAATCCAAGTAAGATTTCAAGATTTATCTTTGAGCCTGGATTATTCAGATATGAACTTAAAATCGAAAAAACTGGAACTTTCGATTTTTTCAAACTGTTTCGCTTCATTTTTCCTTGGATTTTTCAAAATTTATCGCCCAAAACTTCGGAATATTATTCACAGATCACAAACTCCACGTGAGCTTTTAAAAATTGAGAATATTAAGCTTTTAATCTCAGATCACGTCCAAAAATACACCCTCACCCTTTCAAAATGAAAATTTTCTTGAACAAAAAAAAATTGTTTTGACGTTTTTCTGTTTTCCTTTGGGTAATTTGACCACCCTCGCCTTTTTTGTATTCCGGAGGGTTTATTTGTTGGAAAAGGTCATTTCGAGTTGAAAAATGCTTATTTCGCTCTAGAAGCGCTTTGTAATGGTTTTCAGTGCTCCTGGGCGCAAGTCGCCGCGGGTCGGGCGTATTTTGAAAAATGCGATTTCAGACATTCTTCATGCAATCAGGACTCAAAAAATGGAGTTGAAGCTATGAAAAGAAACTTTCTGACCTGTCTGCGCTCTCTTTCCCCTCGCCGGAGATGAAAATCAACAAAATGAGAGAAAAGTCGACTCTTAGCCGCTCTGTTTTCATATTTGCAACAATTATTTTTTGCAAAACAAGCAAAATGACCGGATTTTAATGGATCTGCTTTCGTTTTTGTCTGATCTGCTTTCGTTTTTGCTCCTTACCGAATCCTACATGTTTTCGAGAAAAGATGCAATAAAATAGACGAGATTTGCTCACGAGTCTGAAATTATTGCAGGTTAAGCTTCGGATGGAATTCTGGGTCGGGATTATATGTTTAATTTTTGAAAAATTCGAAAAAAATCCAAAAATCTTTTTTTAAGCAGTCAATCAAAGATAATCCCTCAAGTGGCCACTTATTGATGATTTTAGAATTCTCAGGACCTTTAATAGTCAAAATGGATTTCGCTTTCCCGCACTTCAAAAAGTGCATACGAAAAATCCTCGTGAAAATGGAATTGACCAAGATTTCGGAAGCATGTGCGCTCCATGGATAATCCTTCAAGTCTTCGAGAAATGACGATTTTTATTTTATGAATAAGGTCAAATCTCAGAATTATTATGGAAAATCTGCTTTTTGGATCATGATTTAGTTATTTTTGAGCTGAACTGGGGTATTTAGAAAAATCACTTTTTTTGCCTCATTTTTGTGGTTTTTTTCGAGAATTTTTTTGTTCTGGCTGAAAAAAATTCCGAAAAAGGGAGATTTATAATTTATATACTTATTTTAAAAATTTTTTTAAAAATTTAAACTTGAAAAAAATTATGAATAAAAAAATCGAAAAAGCAAAAAAATTTTTCGAATTTTTCAAAAAAAGAGCCCAATTTTTTTGAATTTTTTTCCCGCCAAAAATTTTTTTCTCGTCAATTTAAATGCCATTGAAAGCATGCTAGAATGAAAGTAAAAAAATTTTTTTGAAATTCCACTTTAACATTTAAATATTAAAAAAATAATTATTAATAACTAGTAAGGCGAACAAAACTTGAAAAAAAATGAACCAGACAATTTCTTTAGAGTTTGTTATGTCACAATTTTTGCCCTTTCTTGGAAAAATCATATAAAGTTATTTTATAGTCGCAAAGGTATCCAACTCAATTTTTCCTCTGATCTACTTATTTGAAACTTGTTTTTTCCCACAAGCTCACAAATTTTTCTTTTTTCCCCCGAACTTCCGTTTTTTTGTCGTTTTCCTGGAAGAAAAATGGAAAATAAACTTCAATCGAGTTATTTTTTAATGATAAACGTACGTATTTTCGAGATTAACCCAATTTCTTCGGCAAGAACTACGCTCTACGTCAATTTCGACCATTAGGCGGTAATCGAGTTTGGTTTTTTGGAAGTGTTTCCCAAGTGAGTAATTGTTACTTTTTGCTTTCTTTTTCAATTATGTTAAGCTTCTGACGCGTTAAAGATTACCTAATTCTTCCAGGCGCGTGGCCAATCAGGAAATTCCCAAAAAGTTTGAAATAACAGAATAATGAGAATTGTGGGAGAAAAACAAAGGAGAAATTCGAGTGGGCGAGGTGGAAAAAAATTAGAATTTTTTTCCGGTTTTTTTCTAGAATTTTTGAGTAAAAAAACTACTGCTCAAAAATTTTTTTATTTTTTTCGAAAAAAATTCTGCCTACTTAATTAAACTTCTATCAAAAAAATATTTCCGAAAAATGCCTATTTTATATTTTTTTAACTGAAGGATGAGATTTCTAGAGGAACTCTGAAAAAAATACCCTTCTTTTTGGTTGAAAAAGTAAAAATAAAAGCTCAAAAAAAGTTTAAAGGACCAGAAATATTTTTTTAAGAAACGGGTCTCGGCACGAAAAATATCGAAATATCGCCAAGGACTCCTACAGTACCCTCAAGTTGTGAAACAAATTCCTAGTAAAAAAATGAAAAACTGAAAAAAATATAATAAAAAGCTCAAAAAAATGTAAAGGAAATTCAAAAATTTTGAGAAAAAAAGGGTCTCGACACGATAATATCAATGCTAAAATTTCTGACAGTATCCTAAAGCTTGAAAAAGAGCGCCTAATGAGAAATAAAATGAAAAATTAACTTGAGTGCCCACTCGAGTAGTTGCCCAGCAAAAATGATATTTTTTATTACTTCGGTATCGCGAACCGGTCGTTTCTTTTTTTCTGTTGAATGAAGACGGGGAGACAGATTGTCGGACCTCGTAAATTTGGACGTTTTTTAAAAACTTTTAGCGACTTTTTTTTGTTATGTTTTAGTACCTTTTCAGATGTGTTTGGCCAATATTCTTCTTTTTTGATTTCAAAAACTGAATTCCTGCTTTCAAATAGTTTAAAATTACTGTACTCATTACGAGGGCAGGTTTGAATTTGATTTGAATTTAGAATACGTCTTCTTCTTCGTAATTCCGACAGAGATTCCTTCGAAAAAGTCATTTTCAGCCGAATAACTCGGAAGAGGTGAAATACGTGCCGACCGGGTCGGCCCCGGGCTCCCCCCTGTACATCAACGTGCGCTGCAGCCGCGACGGCGGTCCGGTCCGCATCTTCGACACCAACTCCGTCCCTCCAGCCCCCACCGGCCCCACCGAGAAGGTCTACATCGGCAGATTCGACGGCACTCAAGAGCGATAAACATTTTCTGCCTCATTTTGAATAAATTCAGTTTTTTTGGAGTTTTTTCTTTTCTTGATGCATCAATAAAACAGATTGAAAATTGACAAAAAGGGTCTACGTCCAAATCTTCGAAAGTCAGAGCATTCAAAAAGGAAAGGGAGGCCCTTTTTTCTAAATTTTCTCTTGTTTTCCAATGCTTTCCAGCTATCGAACATTCGACCCTCGAATGGTATCCTCACAAAAAATAAATTTCATAAAAAAAAAGAAAAAAGGTATAATGAAACTGAAAAAAAAACAGTTTGAGAGTTAGATAAAACTTGGTGATTTTGGGAAAAGTCAAAAACTCACCTCTTTTCCCTTTTGAACGAACTAATTTTTTTAAAAGTTCGATCGAGGGAAAAAAAGGATTCTGCCGATAATCATAAACCTGGACTGAAACGAGTAATTGTATTTGAATCGAAAAAAATCTTTAGGAAAAATTCGTGAAAAAGGGCTTTTTCAACACGAAGTGTTATAGCATCATAAAAAAATAAATACTTGACTTTTTGAAAAAAAGTTTTTCATTGAATCTGCCATAATACTTCTCAAATCAACCATTAAATCGATACAAAATTTAAAAAAATAAAGGAATAATTTTTTTAAATCTTTTTTTGCCATACAGTACTTTTGAAATTCTGCATACACAGCAACGCATTTGCTGGCTTTTTGAAATTTTGAAATTTTTTTAAAAATTCTTTTTACTTCGAAATTTTTTTGTTCATCTTGAGTTCTTTTTAATATTTTTTATTCATCACAGTTTGAAGATTGTTCTAAACGCTCTTCAATGTTCAAGCCACACGACTTGGAATGATGAAGGAATGTTTATTTTTTCAATTTATTTACTCGTTCTTTCAAAAATTAATAAGAATTTTGCAGATGTTTTATCCACAAAATGGCTTCAAAACGTTCTGAGAAACTTTTAATAAGCTTTATTGGGACATATTACCCCATGAGGTTGGTAAAAAAACTTTATTTCAGAAAAATCTTCTTTTTTTCTTTTTGAAGTTATTTGTAGATTTGTTTTTTGTAAATTTATTTCAAGTTTCGCCAAAAAATTTAACTAATGATTGTAAAAAAATGGAAAAAAATAATTTATTTAAAGGCAAAACTGAGATTTTCGATAACCGATCCAGTTACAAATGTGTTTCAAGTCATAACTATAAACCATTTTCGACAAAATGGCTCGTTGACATTCCCTTTTTCCCTGCATCTTCGAAAAGTTCTTCATGGTTTTCTGATCATTTAATCCATTTTCAGCTCTAAAATTTAAAGTTATTCTCATCGGCTGAAATTTCCTTCAGGAACTCCTAATTCCAGAAAAAACACGAAATTTTTGCCATAAGCTTAGTTTTAGAGTCGTGAGCCCTTAAAATTTGTGAATTTCAGAAATACTTTTTCAAAAAAGACGTTTGAAGCTTCTTCACTCGGGAACGAGACCCTTCGGATTTCTAGAGTGGTCTCTATAGGGGTTAGGAAGGAAAGCAGCCACTATAGGGGCCGGGGAAGTGGTGTTTATAAGGGTAAAGGTTAGGTGGTCCCTATAGGAGCTAAGAGTTTGATTCCTCGGCCCCTGAAGATCAAGTGGTTCCTAGAGGGGTATTTTAACTTTTTGTTCAGTATCGAAAATTTACTTATTTATCGAGTTTTTCGCATGGAAATGCTTCTTCTCATAGATTTTATAAATCGTATAGGGTTTGGTAAAGTGATCCCTAGAGCGGACCCTCCGGGAGGCCCTGAAGCAGTCTCTATAGGGACTGCTCTACAGTTTTTATAATAATAATTTATTGACAGATCAGCGTGAACCCTAACGAGTTCACTTGGATCTAGAATTTGAGAGAATACATTATACAGTTAAACATCATTTGAGTCGTGGAGGAATAGACAAGAAGATCTCGTGCAATGGTAGATTGACCAGTAAATTTTTTTAAAGACTTGGGGTGGTGGCTGAATTGAAATTTGGAAGTGAGTTTGTTCCAAGTAGGAATTGTTTTTAAAGAAAAAAATCATTAGAAAAACTGACCTTGAGAACGCAGTCGAAGTGGATTTCGCCTTAAATTGGACCTGAGGGCAAAAAGTTCGAACTGGGGAAAATGATCGATACCGAAGACAATTTTATGAAGGGTCAGAATGTCAGATATAGCTCGTCTGAGGTAAAGTGGAGAGATATCAAATTGTTCAAGGCGATCAGAGTAAGATTCAAAGGATAAGTTGGACCTAATAAAAATTTTACGAGAAAAAATTCTGAGAGGAGATTCCAGTTTGTAGCAGAGATCAGAACAGTTAAATTTTTTTGATCTGAAATTCTAGGATATTCCAGCCAATTTTCATCAAAATATCAACCATGGGCCGAAAAACGTTCCCTTGTTAGTTCAAAAAAGTCTGTCCCTGGAAAAACTTGAGCCTAAGCTGGCCAATAAAAAGCGTACTTTGGAATACGTAGCGGAAAACAAAGCGAAAAAACGCCTACTACACACAAATCGCCTTCCGCAACGTCGAGCGCAAGAGTTTCTCCTAATCTTGTTCTGTTAACCCGGATGTCGAAAGCTTTGCATCACTTCCTATTCTTTTGTCCTGTTTACACAATAAAGATGACGAGGTTTCAGTTGGCGTCGGGCCAAGTCCCCCTCAAAGTGTCCTCACAAGGAGGTCAATTTACTTTTCAGTCGGGATTTTCCGGAAAATTGGCCGTTGATAGGCTATTTTCGGGCTTTGAGCCTTCATTTCTCGAAAACTAGGAAGATTTGAAGGTTGAGAATTTCAGAATCTTTTTTTCGTACATCAAGGAGTAATATGGCCAATTTTCAAAAAAATCCCAACCACAAAGTAAAATGACCTCCCTCAAAGCGACCTGAATTTGACGGCTTCTTTTTTGAAGATAATATAATCGTTCAGGTAAAAATAGATGAGGTGTAAATAGGTACAGGAAGTAAAGTGGCACTCTTGTTTTCAATACTGTTTTCGTCGTTGATTGCGCAAAACTATTGTTTTTGGGTGCAAGAGATTTTCGAATAAAATAAAAAAGACGGACCTTTTTGAGAACAAATCGAGGGCAATTCTGACAATAAAAATATAAAATCGCGACAATTGGACTTCCAAATGGTAGAAAATGACAAAAACCGTCTCGAAACAAACAAACTGTCTGATTTCTCTGCACTCTCTCCTGTCTACGAGCTATTTTCATCAGTGGTGAGGGAAAAGAGAGCGCAGACAGGTCAGACATTTATGAAAGACGATTGAAAGATCGTTCACGAGGCTTTGGTCGCATGTGGATTGGCTCAAATTTGTTTTTTCAAAATGCACCCGACCAGAAACGACTTGCGCTCGGGGGCACAGTAAAGCTTTTTAGAATTCCACTGGGGGCGTTTTTGAAGTTTTTATCTGCAAATTTAAGGTTTTAGAAATTTAAACATCATCTTTAGGCAAAAAAAAAAGTTTTTCTTAAAAAATTTTAAGCTCAGAAATCACTGAGAAGAAGTAGTTATTACCGCTCAAAGTTCAAAGTCGAAAATTATGGGTTTCGTTATATTAATAAATCCATTAATTGATTTAAAAAAATTGAATTTTTTTCATTCCAAGGTACGATTCTCATTTAAATTAATGATTTTTTTGAACTTTTTAGAGGTTTCAACTTTGCAGTTTCTAAGTATATATTTGAGGTCATCCTGGAAAAAAATAGCTCAGTGAAATTAGGCATTTTGAAACTTTAATTTTACCTTCGAGAGTAAACTTTTTAAGATCCCCCTAGGTTAAGAAGCACATTTTGATCCTTCATCCTTCAAACCTTTCCTTTTTCGCTAATTGCAAAAAAGAAGCCCTACGCAAGCTTTTTTGCTGCAATTTACTCTCCGAAGCCTTTCTTTAACAATATCCATTTTAGGGCTTTATTTAATAACAGGAAAGACAATGTAGTCTACAGATCCTTTTTCCGAGTACTTTTTCTGAAAAAGTCCCTTTTGAACCATTTTTTGCAATGATGGGGTATTCATGGAAGGTCAAATCGCTTTTTGGGAATTTCTTGAAAATTGGCCAGAATACTCCTTGATGTTTCAGAATAACATTCTGAAAGTCCCAACTTCAAAAACTCCCTAGTTTTCGAGAAATTGAACATTAAATTCCGAAAATAGCTCATTTTAACGGACTTTTAAGGTTTCCTTCAACTTTGAGGTGTCATTTTTTCAAAAAACTAGTGATTTTTAAAGATTGAGACTTTCAGAATACTCTTCTAGTACATCAAGAAGTCTTCAAGATTTTCCAGGAAAACCCCAACCGCAAAGAAAAATGACCTCCTCGTCAGAAAGTCCTAAAAAAGATCGCGATTTTCTTTTTCTAGGTGCTAATCCTTCATAGGAAAACGGTAAAAGCACGTTTTTAGATTAGAAAACAAGGATGTGGGTGTATTTTCGTGGGTGGGAAATATTTCCAAACAAAAATAATAAGGAGATTACTGGAAGTACAGGGAAGTAGGAACTTTTTGTACTTTTTTTAGGTGGGATTTTAGGGGCCATAGAAGGATTTTTTTATGGATGAAAGATTGAAAATTGCAAAATTTTTAATTTTAAGCTTATTGAGAAATTGATAAAATAGTAAAAAAATTGAATTTTTTTAAACAAAAATTTTTTTGCATCGAAATTCATTATGAAAAATCCCTCTTTTTTTTCCCATTTTCTGAAAAAAATTATCCCTATTGTCCCAACCTTTTCCGAGCTTCTCATCCTGCTTTGAAAGTGCACAAAAATGCAGGAAAAACAATTTAAATACACGATAAAAAGCCTTTTTATTTCAAAAATATAAAAAAACGAATCCGTGTATCTTGACAAAAAAATGCTTTTTTTGAGCTTCAATTTCAAATATTTTTTTCGAGCCAAAACGGATAATCCAAAAAAAGTACTTTTCGTGCTTTGAAGTTTTTTTAAAAAAAGATCAAAAATCTTAGATTTATGAAATAAATAGGAATTTTTTTCGAACTTTTATGAGGACCA